TCAGATTTTTGACAGACATTATGGCCTACAATAATCTTTCTCTGCACATCTTCCTGAAAACCTCATCATCCAGTGATGAATACATGTAAATCACTCTTGAAACCTATTCTACTAGACGTATTTAAAAAAACCCAAAAAAAAGAAACAGAAACAGGACACATAATAAAAAGCCTGACAACACAGAACTAAACCTGCAGAAAAGCTTATGAGTGATAGTGAAATTTATCCTGTTTTTTCTATTTTTTACATGGAACATCAAATCCCAGCCATTAAAATAGAAACTTTTATCTACAAGTAAAAAGGATATTGCAGTGATTCTCTCCGAGCTTTTATGTGTAGAATTAAAATGTACACCCTGAGAGCAAGCCTCATAAAAACATGGACTATGCTTCTGCAACAGGCCTGTTACATTATTTTTATTATTACAAGTTGTTAGCGGACAAGTGATGAGTAATAATATCACCAAAATTAAGTACATAATTAAAGTGTTTTGCTTTTTAAATATTTTTAGTAGAATGTTTTTCAGTTGCAGGCTGAATTTAGAAAATGTGATTTAGAAAAAACAGATCCGTTCTGATAGATGACTATCTCCAACATGTAAACTGGCTCTAGCTGTGATGTCCCCCCTGGATGTTGAGGCTGCTGTCATTAATGGAGAGGTCCTGATACTCCTGTTACTCACTAAAAAATATTCATCATATTCAAAACTCTGCCTGAAGACCTGCCTAAAATGCCACAAGCACTAGTCTCAGCTGGTGTAAATGAAAGCAGCTTCAGTGGCTTTGTCAGGGCGGAGACTGCCTGCTCCATCTGAAACATGTTTTCAGCATCTCTGCTCTCACCAGAAGCAAAAAGAAAAAATGCTAAGTGTTCTTCATTGTTAATCATTAACCTGTGGCTGCCTTCTCATCTCTAAAGCAGCGTGCACTTATTTGTTTGGTATGATGCTGATATACGATGATTTTTCTGTAGTGTTTTGAAAGCATCTCTTATTTTCTTGACACCTCAGGCTTTCTTATTTTATTCTGCTGCCTCGATCCATGCAACAGGTCTCCAGCTACAAAGCCATTCACACCCTGCACACCCTGCAATGCCTCCCCTTCCACCCCTCACTGCCACCACAAGGATGATGCGCTGCCAATCCCAGAGGGCAGAGCTCCTGTCCTCCTCACACGAATGGGCCCTGACGTGCTGAGCAGGTTCCCGCAGGCAGAGTCCCTCTGAAGATGATGCTGTCTGACAACGTGAATCAATTCAGCATTTTTTTATCTCGTGTCAGAGCAGCAGGACTCCTGGGGCCGCGACACTGAAAATGTGCCGTGTGTTACCCATCCTGATCAAACACTTAGCGGGGGTCACCGTCCTGGACACGCTCTAACAGGAGCAGCCTGGAGACTGTCAGAGCCGGGGGCGCGGAGCAGAGCCCTGCCCCGCCGGAGAGCAATCTGCTGCCTGACCAGATCTTCCCATCTTCCTGCACCAAGACCTTAAGCTTTTCTTCTTTGACACAGAGATTAAGGACAATCCCAACAAATTAAAAAAACAGATCAAATATGGTACCTCAGTGAGATGAACCGCTGCCCTACAGATTGCCCAGCCATGCTGCACTCCTTGGCTTCTCAAGGGAACCCGTCCCCTCCACTTGCACAGGTTCATCAGCACCAGGCTGTGCCTTTTCTGAACCCATTGTGTAGGCTTCTCATGAACTGCAAAAGCTGAGCTAGTTGGCTACACACCAACCAGGTCAACAGCATTTAAAAAATCTTTATTATTGTACAGCTGCCAGGCACACATACCTACAGACACATATCTGGGAACTGACAGCCTAGCAAGACATTTGTCTGCCTTCTGATTCTGCCTCAAAAAAGCCTTTGGGACACGACTATCTGCTGAATTTCAGACCAAGCCTCCTTGTCCCATAGCTCTTGCCAGTTTACCTTTCTGCCCCAAATGTCCCTGCAATTTAAAATCATAACAAATGGTTGCATTAGAATAAGGTCATTGTTGCATGGACAAGCAGAATTAATGTGTTATGCAAAACAAGCAAATTATTATGAATACTAATTCTTTTATTCTTATTCTTTTAGTCTTACTCTCTTTAACCACTATTTTATAGTGCCTTTATATCTGTAGATACACACACACACACACACAGACATACACACATTTATATCCATTAAAATGGGATGTGAACTTAAGATTGGGTTTCTGCTAACCAACATTTGTAATTTCCCTCTAGTGGCCAATTGATGCTTAAATGCTAGTGGTTGAAGACTCATCTGCCTCTCATTATAAAGAAGATAAATCAGCTTATTTAAAAAAATATATATGAGTTTCCCTTTTTATGAAGTTTATGGTCATTATCTAATTGTAGTAGAACAGCACAGGCTGTTTCCTTATTTAAGCAAAACTTTGAAACCAAGCACCTGTAGTGAAAAGGACAAGGAAGGAAAAACAATCTCAGCCAAATAGAAGTTCTTGCTGGCTAATTGTCCAAGTGATATAATTATACCAAAAAATTGTGGTTTGTACTGCTAGAAAATAAAAGCTATAGTATTCCTTTATAGGCAGGGTATCCAGTGTTCTTGTGATTTTCATGTGGTATTTTTGCCTACAGGCCATCACATAGCCCAGCAAAGGTCATCTTCCCTCTCTTTACTGGAAATCAAATATTCCTGTCCATGCCATCATTCTTTTCCATTCATCTGTCCTCTGGCTTGTCCAGAAACTGCAGCAATTAGCTGTCTTTTTTTTCCCCCTCTCTTCAGTTTTATTCTTGAAGAATCTCTTTAAAAACATTAATTCTGGCATTCCATTTTTGGAGACCTCATTGTATAGGTTCTTCATCTATCTATATGGCTCCCTTGTATCTTCCTTATCTAACAGCTAGGAGAATGCCCACTTTCTTCATATTACTGGAACACCACTAGTCAAATTCCTAAGAACAGGGAAAAGCATCTATTTAGATTGCCCTGTCCTATACCTGCATGAAGTGGGTGCTTTCCAGGAGATAGTTTTAGCTTACTTCAAAAAGTAAGGAAATTAAAGCTAGTGCTTTATGTGTTTGATTGTCCAGATGGTTAGTACTTCCCCTATGCCAAACCTACAAACTTCCTGGCAATTCTCAATTATTTGACAGACATTTTTAAGATTGTCTTAAAGATGTTTTAAGTCTCTTGGAAAAATAATTAACTAAATAATAATTATTTTAAAAATCTGAAAGGAGAATGATGTCCTATTGATCTATTTTATGCTGTTTGTCACCAACAGGAAGTCTGGTCTGCACCCAGCAGGTTGTGCTGCTCCACACTAGCTATGGCTCCTGCTGCATCTGTCATTTGTCTGGTTTTCTCTTTTTGCCCTTCAGGCCAGCCATCCTACTGGCTGTTTATCAACTCTTTCCAAGAAACCTCAGATATTCTACTTTTGTTCTTGCATTTTCTCTGTCCCAACAGTTTCATTTTCACTACCTCTTCTTGCCACACCAGAAGGCAAACTTTTCATGCCAGCATGACCGTGACACTCTTTCACTACAGTACATATATTGCAGAACACCTACTTGAAATATATCCTGAACAATGCCATTTAGAAAACTTAATTTGTTCCCTTAGTGAAGTCCTGAAGCCCTTTAGATCTTTTTTAACCCAGGGCAGAGGAGTGGGCTGCTATCCTCTCTCAGGTAAGATGTTGGGTTTCAAAGCCAAAGCACCCCTGTTCTGAAGTCTTGGGAGCACAGGAAATATTGCACCACCCTCTGGAAGATACATATCAAGTTCAGTTTACTGTCAATGGTAAATGTAGTTCATTCCTCAGTGAAGCTCAAGACCTGGTGATTTTTAAAAAGTTTGGCACCAGAATTGGACTACCTAAACTTTCCCCGTTTGAAAGCTCAGGTCTGAAACCCTTATTTGTACAGCATGGACCCTCATCACTTGTATCCAAAGTGTGACAGAAAGCCAGGCAGAATTAAATCTAAGCAGTGGCTTAGATTTCTGACATGATGCCATGGGGTTTTTTTTCAGCTGGCAGGGAAAACACACTACCTTCTAAACTTCTTTATTTTAGTTGAGCACCTTAGGGCAAGACAAAATGGGTCAAAAGGCTGGCTGAGCCGAGGGGACAGGAGCTGTCTCCTGCCCTGCCTCTCTCCAATTTTAACATGTGCAAACCTATTACTTGCCAGCTGGCTTCAAATTTATCCTGTGCAGCTTTCCCCTCAGGGACAAAGCCAGTGCTGCCAAATTCACAATAGGCCAAACTTCTCCAACCCCAGATGAAGAATCCATCCTTCAGGTATCGAACATGATCACAATTTTTTTATCAGCTCATTTACATATGAGCACAGTAAGGAACGTTGTGTATATTTTTGCTGCCAAAATTAATGAGAACACTGGGATCACCACTTTTCTCCTTGCTTACAGTCACAACAGATCACATCTACTGTTGGTCATAGTCCTGCTGACATGCATTTATCTTGACATTTTGATTTAAAGTTTCCACTTCTCATGTACAAAAAGCAGCCAGAGATTCCTTCAGAGATTAAAACATGATGGCCAATTGGATTTATTTTCACTCTAGAGGTATCATTTGGGGGTAGATTCCTACAAGAAGCACATTCAGTTATTTCCATCTTCCCTCAAAACCAATTCCTGCTTCTGCCAAGTCTCTGACATGTTCTTTCCTAAGGTAGATGAAGGGGGAAAAAGAGAGAAGGAGCGGGACAAAAGCACAGAAAAGGACAATTGCTTTTCAGAAATTATTGGAATCTCATTATCTTTCTGATTTTCTCCCCAGTTCTTTTTTTCAGAAAAGAAGACACTTCCATATGGTAGATAATATTTCTTCATAAATGATTCCTAGGGTTTCTCTTTTAAAATAGGCCAGACATCATGAAAAGAGAATTTGGTTCCCAAATCCTTTGCCACTTTACCTCTGCTACATGGAATCATGAGGAAATTGTATTTTCCTAGGAACAATGTGAGAATGGATTACAAGAAAAATTACCATTGCGGTATCCTCTTTAATTCCCTCAGGATTTATACAATCACTTCAGTGAGAATAAAATCAAAAGTAAAGGTATATCAGTAAAAGGAAAATACGGCAACTGTACGTATTAGTACACTTTGGGGAACATGCACAAATAATGTGAGTGTTTCTCCAAAAATTGTTACTGTATGAAATTCTTTTTTCCAACTAAGCCTAGGGGACTCAGACCCCACTTTTCAGGAAGTATTCTTTAACTGAAGCAGAAAGAGCTGTATTTCATATCTCCCAGACAGTTTACACTGTTGTAAAAATCAACAGATACCTTTACAAAAATCAAGGCAGCCAATATCTGAAGATATTTGAAGACAGAAGTGCCAGAACTGAGTCTGTACAGATGACAGGAGCTGAAATATCCAGGAGTTTCAAATTACATATGGAAAGGCTTGCAGAATGGCTTCCGATTCAGTGATAATATCCCTCTTTCAATCATCATGCCCACACATCATCTTTTGGATACATCTCTTGAAGCACCTGCATCTGTTGGAATCCATGGCTCTCCTGCAGTCTTCTATGCAGAACAGCTGCCCTCCTGCCCAGTCTGTTTCCATTCATATATAGGATAGACAAGATATGAAAAGAGCATTGCAATGGATTGTGGGTACTGTAAAAGATGATGAGTAAAAATTCCTCACTTCATATACTATTTTAAAACAGATAACCATAAATTTGTATGTCAGACAATTCCTTTAGGAGACAAAATCCTTATTTGAGATTCTATCTGAGGGTTCTTAATTTCAATTCAACATTCTTAATTCCTCTTATTCACTCTTACAGGTATGGAACATGACTGTTTCAGTTCTTTTCTTTGCAGTAATATGATTAAATAAATTATAAAATCATTCATGGAAGTAAAATGCAAATCATAGATTTCAATGGGAAATGGTCAGACAAATTTACCAATTTTTCAAATGGTAGCATGTGAAGTTATGCAGCTTTCTGTAAATAATTTGGTGGCAGTAATGGAAGCTCTGTAACATCATGGGAACAACTTTTGTCAGAGTTCTTTCATACTGTTTTTCTACTTTGAATTCTTAATTACAGGAAAAATATGATGTGATTTTTACTGCTAGTGTAAACAGAACAAACAGTGAAATTTTAAAACCACATTTATTTTTAATACAAAATCTGTTGCACTATTACAGAAGTGAGCCTGTATGTTTACCCCCACATGCACAGATAATTCAGCATCTACAATTAAATAGGAGTAAAATGATACTTCTTTTTTACCAAAACCATTGGCAAATCCTGTGAAGAAATGTTCTCTTTGTGCTTTGTAATCAGTGTTCATATAATTCATTTTGTATTTCAGTTCCCATTAAAAAAACTCACCAGTGGAAAGCTCAAAGATGCAAAAGAAGCTTATTACAGCTGGGTTACATTTGGGATTACTTCAGTTGTGCTTTACCTACAATATATACATGAAAGCTGCAACATATCCTATGGGCTAATGTAGTGCACTGGCAAAAGCTCTGAATGGTTCAGTTGGAATCTGCAGTAAATGAGCAGATCACTATTGTATTTTCACAGCAAAAAAAAAAAAAAAAAAAAAAAAGAAAAAAAAGTAGATGCTTTAAAATACCATGCACACCATTGGCTGTAGTACTCCTTACACAGTACAACATAAGCTTTCTTGGTTTATTTGTCTGTAACACCTAGAAGCATATAGCATCTACGCTTTAAGTGTATTTACAAATTCAACAAAATATCTACATATAAAAAGCTTACTTAAAATTAAACTTGATGCAAGTTATGAAAAACCAATTTATTGGCAAATGAAACTGAGCATTCCTTCAACCATAGGTTGTTATAAAAATTTATATTTGGAGGTAAACATTTGATTGATATAGTATGTGAGAAAATAATTTTTTAACCGATAAGGGTAATCCTTTACCAATAAACCGTATTAGCACTTGTCAGATGGAATGCTGTGGTTCCGAGCGGTAACCCCCACACTGCTTCAGGCTGGAGATAATTAAAAGCTGCCACACTGATCAGGCTGGGACACAGAGAAATGCGCTCTCACCCATGGAGTCAGCAGGTTTGGGTTTTTAATGATTTATTTTACAAGAGCTTGTATCTTGTTGTGTTAGTAAATAATTTAACTCTGGTTGGGTTTCGGGATTTTTGTTTGTTTGCTTTCATTTTTGTTTTAAGTATTCTAAGGCCATGAAAACATGTTGTGCTGTAACTGTGTAGAAAGCTTTTTTTAAAGGGAAAAAAAATCATACTCTTCTTTATGTAATTTAAAATATTTTAAACTTTCCATTTTTAGCACAACAGTTTCATAACACTTCTTTTTCTCCATATTTTTCCTTGATTTGGCAATGACAGTAGTCTGCTAATCACAGTTTACTGCACCAACTGATTTAGTAGTACAGCACATTACGGAATGCATATTGTATAAAGGCACTGAATGTACTTTGCCCTGTGTTTTCTGGAATATTCTTCTTAATTTTAAAGTTTTTCTTTCAGTGACTGTACAAATTCTGAAATGCATTGCAATGCATCTCTTTTATGCCCTAAAATCAATTCAATATGTTTTGATGTAAAAATAGAACACTGTACTGCTGTAATACTTGATAGATTAAAAAGGCTATAAAGTAATAGGAGCAAAGAGCAGATAATAGGGTCTCATTAAGCATCAGCAAATGCAAGTGTCATACTTAAATCATTTAGCATTTATATACTGTACATACTGTTCCTAACTGTCTTGCAAAAAGACATATGATAGCTAGACATTAAGTCACCAATTTCACAACAATGTCCACAAAGACATTGAAGGTCTATATAATACTACTATAACACTCTGACATTGAGAACGGAATTCATATCCAGGGATTCAGCTGAGGACTGCATAACAAATTGTCAAACCATGTTTTTATAGTGTACACAAGATTATTTGTGAGTTGTGTAGGGGCTTTTTTTTCCCATGCATTATACTGTATTTTCAACAGGAAACAAAATTACAAGTTGTTGTTAACTGTTTGTGTCAGTTCCTTTAAAAAAAATAAAAGTAAAAATACCCAAGTTTTGAACAAAATTTGAATTTTCTATTTTGTTTCATAGTAACATGCCACTCACTGTGTCATGCTGTGTACTGGTGTTAACCTGCATATTCTCATAGCATTAACATCTGGTGGTGAGGAGCTCCGTTACCTGTGTGTTCATAGTATGAGAAGGAGGACGTACAAGTGCTTTAAGCAAACTGGAGATACAAGGGGATCAAGTTCTGTGGTTACACAAATGAATTCATGGCATTTACAGGAGAAGGAGCCTCAGAGCTTTCATTTCCTTCTGCAGGTTCTTTCTCTTTTTTACCACTGTATTGTCCAATAAAGGAGCCATCCTCATTGAACTGACCATTTACACCTTCTCCATAGTCAACTAAACTATCATCACTGTCTTCTTTTTTCACAGTTCTGTCTGAAGGTGTCCGGCTTCCTTTTTTTAGAGGTTTATGGTCCTCTGCATCGCTAGAGACACAAACAAACAAACACGGGATTAACAGATGTACTAGTTATTAAGACAAAATCAGCCATGCATGCAGAGTTTATGAAAAGCATGTGTGCAGCCCTATAATCCTTTAGTAAACCCACATCACATTGTAGAGACAAATCAATATGATGCAGTTCACATGAAAATATGGTGTAAGAATGGTTTAAACACCGAATGTCTTCAGTGAAGGGAGGGGGGGTTCTGGTTTCTTTTATTTTTTTTCCCATCGTGCATGACTTTTCAGTGGTAAGACCTGGGCTCTTGGCTTAGAAGCCACGTAGATGCAACTGCAAGCATTAAGAAGTGTGTTGTAAAGCTATAAGAAAATAATTTGTTTGTTCTCCAAAGTAACAAGCTTATGATGTGCCGTGAAGTTAGTCTGTTAAACTTCTTAATTTCTTTGACTCCTTGGAAATGAATGAAGAATGAATTTGGTTAAATGAAATAGACTGATTTTCTTTACTAGTATAAAGAAAATAAAAGTGCTGCATTTCAAATAATTTGTTACATAATGCAGGCCAGACTTGCAATTTTCAACCTTACCTTTCAAGAGACCTACATATTCCATTAAAAGGGTGCAGAAGAAACAAATGAAAATAGCCTAAGAAGAAAAGCAAAGTCCATATCCTGATAGTGATCAGTATTGTATCAATAATAAGTTGCTCTTAAAATTGCTACAATATTTACTGTATTACAGGTAAAGCAATAATTTAGCTTACAGCTGCTAGAACTGAGGAGTTGAGCGCATGCTTATTCTTTTTCATTTCTTATCAGATCCACCTCCCTACCCTACTCCCTGACTGATAATGTTCTGACAATGACAATAATGATTTGGAGGACAACAGAAAAAGGAAAGGAAAGAAAAGCCAGTAGAGGAGATCTCTGTAGCAAAGTACTGTGGTCTTTCCTTTGTCAGTGGAAAAGCTACAGCACCATCAGCATCCTCAAATAAATTTGCAGCTGTGGTAGGCTTGTATTTCATTACACAGATATAGTTGGGGTCTTTTCAGAATCCTTTACATTGCACTTCAGTGTCAAGATGAAGATTTCAGCAGCAACTCCAAAGCATTTTGAATTGAAACCCACTATTGGCAGCTGCACTTTTGGGTGGAATTATTTACCTTGTCTTAAACAGAACATGTGACTTGATTTGCATATATGGTACAAAATAAGGAAGTGGTTTGGAGTTTTTATTTAGATTCACATGTTATGGGAAATATAAAGAAACGCATATAAAATATTAAAGAAACAAAATTACATTTTGTAATTTCTAGAACACTAGGCTGAATATATACTCAGCAGATTATTTTAACCCTCTAATTCCTAAAACCTAATATCTTATAAAATAATGCATTATTTTTCTAATTAATACCTTTAAACACCCAGAGAAGCCATATATATATATATATATATATATATATATATATATTTATAATGCAAGATGTACAAGGCCACATTAGATCATATACTTAGCCAACAAAAGCCCTGTTGAGAAACTGTTGCTAGAAAACCATTACACCCATTTTCCATCAAGCTGTTTCTCCTCATCACCTTTATTTTTGTTTTGGAAAACATTAAGTTAATAAATTCTAAAAGGCCACCTCTAATATGCATATACGTACAGAAAAATCATACCAGAGATTTTTTCAATCTGCATATACACCAGAAAAAATGTGGTAGGAATAGCTCTCTTATTTACATGTAAGAAAATCTTCATGCTCAAAGCACACAAAAGCAAAACCTCCCAATGTGACTGTGTCAGGCTTGATGTTTTACTTATTGTGGAGTACAAGGCACAAGGATAAATGTCTGTCATTGATCTGTGCTCAATGGTGCCACAAACATACAGGCCAATAACATTTAAAAGAGAGTATTCCAATATTTGAAGAATCCAGCAGCAAAGTGAAAATGTTTGTAACACTGTGAACACAAGCATGTACAGAGATATTACTGAAGAGAGTTCATTTTGGAAGGACCCCATATTTAAAAGGTTGAAGATGGAATCAAGTATTTAATACTCATTCACAATGTAGTTTCTCCAATGCCCCCATCAAGGTATTAATAGTCATTCAAACAGGCTGCATGAGTCAAATGAAGACCAGGCCCTCCTTTTGAAATTGTAACCAGTCCTACTCCCGAGGAAGATCTGCTTTCTGCATTAGACTGTTAAGGAAAGAACACTGGCATATGGTTTGTTGTTTAATTTCAGGTGAATAACTTCATAGTTCTTTCCACCATAATACACAGAAATGAAAATAAATTAAAACTGCAATTGCAATCATATTCCAATTGTTCATGAATTTCCATGCAAATATTCTAAAGCATGACCCTAGCCAGTGTAATTCACTAGGTTGGACTATACATCTATAAATAATATGCCACTACTGTATTAAAAATATCAACATTTTTGTGTTTAATCCAATGAAAAACTTGATTTGCCTTTACAAATTAGAAAAATCTGAGTAGGAGAACTTCTGCTTTCTATTGCTCTTATGGTTTTCTTATTTATGTTTTTGCAAACAAAGTTTATGTATAAGACAAACAATGAAGAAATACTTACACAGTTGGTTGCATTGAGTATAAAATTTTCTGTATTTTATTCAGGATGTGAATTCTACAATCTCTATAATTAAAAGCAAACAAAACTGCAGATTTACCCAGGAGTGTATCTGCATGGAAGGTGGACACTGGTGTGAGAGCAGAGTCAGAGCAAATGCAAAAATCAAATCTGAACCTGGGAATTCCTTCACTTGTTGCACTATGTAAGTCTAGAGAGAGGTTCTGCCAGGACTCTGGCAGTGGAAAAACAAGTGGGATTATCCAAGATGTTTTACACTCCTGGTTCAGAAAAGAAAACATATGTCATGGTACCATTTTTTCTGTATCAAAGTGGATTATGGCTCTTAGATGAACACAGTGTTTTGAATAGAAGAGAAAGAAATTGAGGAAGAAAGACGAAAAAAAATCAAACAAATAGGAGAAGGAGAAAAAAAGTGAACGCATCAATATTTTGGACAACACTTTTGCGACCCTGGGGATTCAAAACAGAGGAGGAGCTCTGGAAAAATGAATGTATTATCTGTTTGTTGCCAAGAAGCAAACTGCAAAAGCTGCTGAATTACATTAGGAAGAGCTATATAATATTATATTGCCAAAACATCATAAAGCCATAAATTTTGATACTGTACCCACATGTTTTGCCAACCTTGCTTACAACTCTTCATAAAACTATTCCAAAATGCAATCAGGATAAATCATAGTTTCTTTCAGTTTCTGTTTGTGGTTTTGCTTCCTTACTTTTATTATGTACCTAATGTGTGATATTAAAAAATAAAGTGAAAATTTATTAAAAATTACAGTGGGAAATTGAAGAAGTTTATTAAAGTGTAATTTATGCACTGCATATAATTAATAGTCAGAAAACAATACTAGAAGGGAACAAAACATGAGGTGAGAATAAGTATAAATGCTTTATTTAGAGCTATGGAAGTTAAGTGTAATCATACTTCTACTGTTTTTTGATGTATAAATAAATTCCATACTAGTACCTTTTTAAGGATGAAAATTTTTCAAAGAAGATTCATACGTACCAATCATTTTGATAAGTACTTATATGTAGCACATACACTTCTTTACAGTAAGAAAAGTGTTTAATATTAAAGCATACTCCAAAAGCATGATTTAAATATTAATAATTAATGATTACTATGATATTAATATGTTTCTTTTTCTTCTTAGTTTAATGAAACACATTCAAACTTTAAGTTAATTATTAACAGATGTAAGTATGAAGGTAACCATAACATAAGTGCAAAGTACAAATTTATTTGTTTAAAAAAAGTAATTCCATTTCACAAGCTTATCAGTTATTGAAAGAAATATGTACCTTGAAATCTCCTTTCTTCTTTCAACTTTTGAATTTTTCTTCCTTAGATATGGGTACATGCAGCAACCAGTCAGAAGGGGGAAGACACTTTTATGATGCCTCTGCAGTCCAGCAGCAACTAGTTCCCAACTAAACTTTGCCACATTCATAGACATGAAAAAGACTCAATATATGGTTAGCAATATACTGCTTTTCCTTACAGCACAACTGTCAGGTGAAAGGCAATATGAAAGTAAGTGGGTAAAACATGCTGGGCTATGAGACACAGAAAGTGGATGCAGAAGATGAAAAACATTGGCAGTAAATTCCCTTTTCTGTGACCTCTGGTCAATAGCCCAGAAATGTTTAAGTAAAAGCAATCAGGTAAAGCCACAGAAATACCTTCCTCTACGGCTTCCCTGCATATTCCAGGAGAATCAGTCCCTATGCCTAAGAGGTTTCTGCTGACACTCCTAAATTATTAGGACTGTGAGTCCTAATATTATTACTGTCAATCCAGACTTCAAACCATTTTACTATTTCTTATTTAAGCACACTTATATTAATCTTCTGAGTAGTTTTCCATTAACATCTCTGTAATACTGTCTTCAGTCCTGGCAGAAGATTGAAAAACTGGCTGATGAAGCTCTGGCTTTAAAAAGCAGTGTGCTGAAAAAGTTGCTAATCCCACAAGTATTCAAGAATCAAAACAAGAATTGCCAAAGAAACTACATGTGTGTAAATTAGAATACAGTAAGACCACTGCCAAATCCAATTGGACTGTTCAGTTCTTCAGGCAGTTCATTGGGATAATCTCCTTGTTCTGGATAGGACCAAGCTTAGAATTACAGTCCTGAGACACAAATCATGGCTAGGTCTTTATGGAAACACACCTAAGCTGCAGGTTAAGTAACTACAAGAGAAAAATCCCACAGTTGTAGTTACAAACTTTATTTTCATTGTTAATCAACTCAAAAGAAGGAGGAAGAGTAATATTTTCTAGCAATTTCAGAACTCTGCCACAGTGTCTCACAGCATATTCTAGAATTTGTAGTAAAAATACTGTGCATCAAAATATTGAAGAAAAGAGGCAAAATAATTCACCAAAATGTACAAATATCCTGTGTTACCACAGTAGCAATCCTACTACTGTAGTTTCCTTGTCCTGTTTTATCTTCCTAAGAACATTCTGCAGACCACCAGACTTAGTGCTTCCCTTGTAGCTGCTTGCTTTGAGTCTTCCTACCCATGAACCCATGGGTCTGCAGCTGTTATACCATCTTAATTTCTCTCCATTTATGGACCAGGAGGAAAATTTAGGCTGATTTATACACCTATGCTGACCTCAACACACATCTGTGGTACTTATTCTGATTTGTGCAAGTTCTTGGTGTAGACAATGACTGTCCACAATATACTTTCTCAGTCTTCTACAACTCAGAAAATCGCTGGGAATGCAGAGCAGATTGCTACAGAGGCACTCTTTTCCCTTATTATATAAAAATGCAGGAATCTATCCAGCCACAGGAATATAGCATCCATAGTCATTCCATGGTTCCCAGAACACCTGCATTTCCTAAAGCATTATTTCCTCCACTAGATCAATATGGTAGAAAAATCTGATGTTGTCTGGTTCTTCAGACCAGCCAACCCTCACACAGAAAGTATTCTTAGTTGAAGCTGAGGAGTGCAAAACTTCAAACAAATCCAAACCATCCCAAGACCACTAGGAAGCCTAGAAATGGAATGTGAAAAAAAACCTTCCCTTGAGAGAGGGGATTTGAGAGCTATGATTTCTCTAGAATATCTAAATTAGTCATTAAGATTTAAGTAACTTCATAATTTAAATCTTACTTGGAAACAACTCATGTTCTAAGCACTGGGTTTATTTGTCCAGAAATATTGAAAAATTTCCATGTCTTTCACTCTTCTCAGTTCCTGAGAAACTAGGAAACAAGTCTATGTTCTTAGAAAGTTCCTCTTGATGGTCTGATATCTCTCTGAAAGTGAGATGTCTTTTCATACTTGGCACGAGATGATTGTGAGACCTTATACTTTCCCTTCCCTCCTTTAAACTTTGGAGGAGAACGCAAGGAGCTCATACACTTGTGAGGAGAACAGGAAGAGCTTCCAACAGAGCTCTTTTTCCTCATCTGACGTAAGGAGTGTTTGTGTTCTGAGACATCCTTCATGATCTGGTCTAAGGATTCACCGAACAGCTTGCCCCCTGTGTAGGGTAAAGACAGCAGTTTACATTTCAGATCTAGCGATGAGCTCCAAGGACGCAGCCAGAGAGCTCTCCAGGCTACAGTGAGGCATGCCACATTTTTAACAGTGAGTCTAAGAGAATCCTCAGCTGCATCATGGATAAAATTAGCTGCAATTTTACACAGCCTGCGTTTTCTCTGCATGGCACCAGATGGGACCCATTTCTTTTTGTATCTGGCTTGTTCTTCCTCTAACCATAGTAGTAAAGCTTTAGAAGCGTAAGAGCAGTAGATAGATACTCCAAGCTGGGCTGCAACTAACTTGAAAGATCTTTTAATTGCTTCCTCAATCTTTCTGTCAGTAGGATCTTTAGGGAGAGCATTATCAGGCACTGACAGTAAAGAATTACCAGTAACCAATGCTCTGTCTACCTCAGGCAAGGTTCCCCACAAAGCAGCTTTATCCACTGGAAAAGGATAGAGCTTACGTAGGACTGGTGGGGCTTCATGCTTGGCTTCAGGATTTCCCCAAATCCTGCAGACAAGATCTTCCACAGCTGAATGGATTGGAAGTGCATTATCTACCTTGCCTTCTTCAGAGGAGATAAGCAGTTCTTCTGAAGCACATTCAGATTTGGAAGATTTTAGCATTAACACCCTCTTTATGTGTTCAAAAAGGTAATTCTGATTCTCCATGTCAAATTTACGCAGAGGATCTGGTTCTTCTGGATCTTCTGTAGGGGACTCAGATGCCACCTCCCCATCTTCAGGGGCTGATTCAACCTCCAAGGCCTTGTCAGCCCCAGGTTTCTCCTTCCCAGAAGTTGTTCGGTCTTTTAATCTGTCCAAGTGATCTGACTCAGAAGTCTGGGAACTGCTCCCAGATGCTTCTAAAGGAACCAGTGGAACTTCTGCAATTGGTACCCTGGGATACTTTACTGAATGGGACCTGGCCTGTGCCACAGATGTTATGCTTCGTCTGGCTGCTGTCAAAGCATCCTTTAAGACAGTGGCCAGCTCAGGCAAGATTACAGATTTCATTAATGAATTCTTTTCAGATTCGGAGAAGTGAGTAGCAGTAGAAGGTCTTACCTTCCTGTGGCAGGAGCTCTGAGTGTCTTCTGAATCTGAGCTGCAGTCTGGTGTCTGGCTGCACCAGTGCTGGAGAGAAGAATGCTGCTTTGCCAGTAAGCCACCAATTGAGTTGCAGCTGAGGGGTTGCTGGGAAGGGGATGGCTGTCCTGCCTGAGAATCTGAGCCCTCCTCCGACCCCATTATCTGTTGCTCAGAAGCATGATGTCTAGAGCCATGCCTGTACTTCCATTCGTCTGACCTCTTTTCCTCTCGGCAGAGGGAAGCAGAGACTGAACTAACCCTTGTAAGCTCTGAGGACTGCCTAGCCCTCCTCCTGGTGTAGGAGGTCTCTGATCTGTTGCTGGAGTATTGATCCCCTGACCTTCTGAAGAAGCTGGATCTGTCAGATCTCACAGACTTTGCTTTGGTAAAGACAGGGTTTGCTTCAGGAGAATTGGCACAGCTACCTTTTGTTTTCTTTTCTTTGTCCAGTTTCTTTCCTGTCCAAGCAGACATGGACCTGAAGTGATGAAAAAAGTTCAAAATACTCAAATTCCTAGATCTTTCAAAAATTACATTTTTTTCCAAGGGAAACCCTATACCCTTTTTCCTCAAAGAAGCACCGCATCATGTGAGGCAGACAAACTGGGAACTGAGTGACTGCAGTGATGCTGGGCTGCAGAGAGGATGACAAGGTATCTTCTGTAATCTGACTGGTTGCTGCTCCTGCCCTGTCTCTAAGGAAAAAAGAGGAAAGCCCAATATAGACTAATTACACAGAAATACATTTTAAAAAGGAGTTTTTGCAGGGTACACAGAATGAACTCTCCCACGTGAATAAGTGTGAAAGTTTGGCATGCATCTGTGCATATTCACTAGACATGAGTGAATAAATGCATTATAAAATAATTTAATAAAGCTGCAGATCATTCCTTAGATTAACTCTTAAATATATATATAAATATATAATATAAATCTATAAATAATACAAATATATAGATAATTTAGATTAACACTTAAATGTAGAGACATAAATTCAAATCTTGCTATAGGTCACACATGAAAGCAGGCTTGAATACTTATTCCATGCCTGAGAAAACATGTATTGAGACCATATAGTTTGTACAATTCTGTACATAGGTCAGTTTCTGCTGCTGGAAGTTCCAAGTATCAAGAACCAGTGAAGCGATAAAGGAGCATACAAACTAGGCTTCCCAGGAAAACTTATATAGTACTTTTTAACTTTACTTCCAAAGATTACTTCACACTCCCCTTTTTTTCAGTTGAATTTAGGTGATTCATATGCACTTACAACTGTAATAAAATACTATTCTGAACTCATTAAGCTAAGAATGGAGTATATTGTTTTTAATCAAAGAAGAATAAACAGAAACTGCTCCTTAGCATTCAGAAGTGCACATCTAGTCCTGTCAGATCAAGAAGTACCTTTTCCTTCTGTGAAGAAGCTATGGCAACACAGTAGATCCTTCTTGAAAAAATTTGCTTTTTCTATGTATATTTGTAAATGCCAAATCTTTGCAATAATAAGGAACTTCTACACTGCTTTTGACACAGGAATGCACTATAAAAATCTATTTCATACCCGCAAAAAATATAATTGTATTGACCTATCTAGAAAATTATTTTTTGTACTAATAAAAAACTAAATAAACTGCTTATTTAATAAGCGGTATTCATAGTTGTTGCATGAATAGTCCTGCCAAGGCATGCTTTTGGTAATGCCAGATTTGGCTAGACTTGAACTTTATTTACTATGAAGGAAGAGTGTCAGGAATAAGAGCTGTGTTGCATGCTTTGAAGCTGCTTGCTATATATCTTGTACTGAAATACATGAAAGGGAGATTTGCATTCTTTGTGGGACACTCCTTCACCTCTGTGTATAACATCACTTCTTTGTTATAGGATTAGATGTTAGTACTGGCAGGTATTTTAAACACATTTGTTTTCCGGTCAACTTAACACCAGATTGTCCTTATAAGGTTTCAGTTAGAAATTTATTTTCAAAAACTATAATGCTCAACACATTTCCCTAACTAAAAGGACACTGTATCTGGCATTTGAGCTCTCTGAAAGAAGGGGTTTGTAAATAAAGATTCCACACTTTGACTTTTAAACACATACAATTTTGTTTGAATGTGGTTTTCATCTTGCATTAGCAAATGACTTATTGGATAATTTTTTTTCTAATGGTGTGGTTGAAAAGCTATTTTTAGTTCTAAGTAACACTGGATACAAAACCTTTGACATGGAAAAAAAAGTTAGTTTTAAATTAATAAGTGTGATACTATATATAGTACATGGGTGATCTGAACAGTGAACATGACAAACTACATCAGGTGCTCACCTGTATTCACCAAACGTTCCATCATCTTCCTTCATAGGTTGTATTTCTGGATCAGCATGTGCATCCTCCTTTTCCTTCACTAAAATATTTGAAATAGTAATTTTTATCATGAAACTGCAAGATTATAAAGTCTAGGAACTTAATTTCTCAAACATATCACACTTGGCAGGAATGTCTTTTGAATAAAAACTATTTTTTAAATGGGCCTTTAAACTATTACTTTTCTTTTTTTTTTTTTTGATGAAAAGAATCTGTTAATTAGTTATAGGATTTCATTTTCATGCAAGTATAACTGTATGTCATTTTGTATTAGCATAAGTTTTTTTTCTTTTATTTCTAGCACTAGCGAGAGAAAATTGTTTAAAATCCTACTAAAATAACTTATTTACTTAGATTATTAATAGAGTTATTGCTTAATCAAATTTGAATTATTTATTTCTACTTAACAATGCTCTCTATTTCTTTTTTATATTGTTCTCATACTGATTGGTAAAACGGAATCAGATTCACTTTTGTACACTGTTGGTTTGTACATTTTCTGCTTTAATTTCATGTAGTAAACTTCCAGAGAATTTTAGATTTTTTTTTTTTTTATTATTAATAATTCTCAAAATACTAGGCATGGTTGGTTTCTTCTTTTCTACAACACGATCAAACCCAATGCAAAGTCACATACACTGGAACCTTAATTTTTACACAACATATTTGTTGCACATTCTGGTTTTAGGTTTAATCCTTGTTCACTGGTGGGAACAAATCTAGGCATATAACTTGTCCCTATAACATAATAAATGACACGGAAACCCACTAGCACCTGAGGAGTTAGATATTTACAGATGACATATTTCTATAAATTAAGATTGTTGACAGGATAAAACAATATACTGACTTTAAGAATTCTATTTATGGTTCTTCCCTTTGCCTTTTCATTTCTGTTTTTCTGGCCTCTATTCAAATCTTTCCCTTGTCTGGCAGATACAGTTATATAATCCAATACACAATCTCTTGTCTTTTAGTCTGGTAATTTCCACACTTTATTTGTACATCACTGATTTAAATGCCATTATTTAAGAGGAGATGAATCATTCCTGACAGTATTTACTAAGTCTATAATTGCAATAACACATAATGCCTTGAGACTTATCAGGCTGCTATAATTTCATACTGAAGTAATGGATTACTTCCTACAAGTACAACCTTCCACAGGCAACCTCAAGATGACACACAAGAATTATTATGGAAAAGAGTTTGTAAATTAAATTTTAATATATTTCCAAACTTAGTGCTTTCCATTTGTCACTACCTGTGCAACAGTACATTTGCAAGAAATACAAAGTCACTGATATGAACACCAATACATACTGATTCTAAAAATCTTAAAAAGAGTGCAGGTCCACCTTTATATATGGGTGTTTACATGCATAGGTATCTGTGCATGAAAAAACATATACCTTACAACTACTGATTCTGCAGAAGCAGCAAAAAAGACAGAATATCAAGGGTCCACAAAGCAATAACAACCTTAGCATCCAACTGCCCTCTACACTTTTACTCAAAACCTCTGTTTTACCCTTCTCTAGATGGCAGTTCACTCCATGTCCTCCCTACTCTTCAATTTCATCACTTCACTTATTTCAGTCACCTGAATCACTTTTTCTAGACCCTTTGTTATCTCATTTTCTCATTTAAAAAATCCAAATAATTGCAAAAAAAAAAACACCCTAAAATGATTCAGCCTGTCATAAAACTCTATGTAACACTAAATGTTCCTTAATCACCTGTTTTCTCCATAGGCATAGGCAGCTGGAAGATAAACTTCTCTTACCTAATTTTTGCTGTCACAACAAATCTTTGCTATCTCTGTAGAACAATCTAACAGATTGGGCAGAATAGGATTCTTGTACTTAATAAAGTGATTTTCTCATAAAAGTAATCTGCTAGTCTATTCCAGCAGATTTCCCTATGAAAAGCTAAAATTCTTAGTGTTCCCTGACACTAAGATTTTAGAAGTGCACTGATCAAAACAAGCAGAAGAAAGTAAAACAAAGTGTGGATTTTTCTTTTATACTTTTCTAAATGCATCTATCTTTTTCATGCCCAAATTAGCAGTATGAACTTCAGGAAGTTTGAGTTGATTTTAAATAAGCATTCTAGGGTCCAGATATATATTTCCAAACCTTAGAAGCAAATAATTTTTTCATTAAATCAAGATTTTACATGAAACTTAGCAACTGTACTTTCTATTGCATCTAGAATAGGAGAATGAAAAATCAAATTATCCTTGGATGCTCACTTAAGTTAATTCATAGTCACTCATACCTCAACAGCTGCCCTGAGATCCTGTCTGGCATTACTGTGCAAACTGGTTCTCACTATCCTTTTCAAGAGAGCTTTGGTCTGTGGACCTACTCCATAGAAAGAAATATAACACTAGGGAAAGATATATATATCTTATATATCATATATATATATCATATATATATATGATGTCTATTTGTCCACATATATACATACACATACATGCCTTTTGTAATGTACACCAGGAGGGATGCATGTTTTGATAGAAGACATACATTGTGTAGCTCCAATTTTTAATGAAAAATTATAAAACATACCTGGCCATTGCTTGACATAGTATAAAAAACATTTATTTTACACCTCCTCTTAGAAATAAAAAAAATCCCAGCCTAACTGAAGGGTGGTAACTTTAAACTTAGCTGCAAAACTGCAGCAGCTGAAGATGACACAAATTCTGGGAAGGAACTCAAGGTATTGGAAAAAATATGAACAATTGGAAACATATTAAGAGATTTGTCTTCTGACATGCATTCCCCATACTTTAAAGTAACAAGTAGCTATGATTTGGACTTTCTAACCAAATAAATTCTAACTCAACTCATGTTAGTGGATTAAAGCCATCTGTACTGGACTTCAGAAAGTGGAATTTGCAGTAGTGGTGATGCTCCAAAGCTCAAACTTCTCTAGAGAGGTCATGCACTGATAGGACCCTCTGGGAATGAAGAAGATCCTTCTCCTATGCTGAAATAGATGCAGGCAGATGGCTCCTGTCAAGCCCTCCAAATGATTAGACTGATTTGCCATATACACAGAGTAAATGCAAACCAGCAGCAAATGTAATTTTCCAGTAAGATCTGTCTTAATGGGTTACCAACAGATGAAGTTTACTATTCTGGTTAAATAGCATACCTGGATATTTTCCACCCTTATTCCTCCTTATGAAGCAAACAATCAGTAAGATCAAGATCAGAAGAGCAACAGCACACATAAGACCAATGAACCATCCTTGAGTAGCGATGTCTACCTGCCGGCTTGCCATTGCTAGAGATAAAAGAAGAAAAATTATGTTTTGCTGCATTTAAATGCTATGCTAATTCAGATAAATAATAGACAATATAATGTTCATCAAAGAATATCATTCACTGTGAAAAATAGATAGCATTAAGGAAAAGCGTTTCTGTATTTTGTGAGCATTTTCATTATTCACAATATTTCCAAGCACCTACGCACAGAAGTTACTTTTCAGTATATAAAAAGTCTGCTAACATTTAAGCTTAGCAACTACTTTGCAAAATCTACATACCTAGTACATTGCTTTCTATAAACCTCAAAACTATTCTCAACCATTTTGAATTAATTGAACTACTGAAATGAAGTTGCAAATTATAATTCACACAAACATGTCAATTGCATTCTCAAAATTACTAAAAAGCCAATTCTGGTAAGATAATGCATTCCCATCATTCTGAAATGGGGAATCAGATGGATAATTCAAGAGCCTAACATTCAATTTCAACTAAAAATCAACAATGAAACAGCCTTTAAAACCTTATTAGGCATCAAGTTTTCTTTCTTTCCTCAAACCCATACCTCATCCTACAATTCATTTATCATGGTTGCCATGATTTAGAATTAGTGAGGTGGGAAACCTTTCCTTGGCACTATTCCTCTCCAAATACTGACTCTAGCTGGAAGATAATGTAAATAATAAGCGAAGTACAAAGAAAACACTACAGGCACTAATAAGGACAGGAATTATCTATGTGGTCTTGGGTCTGGATCTACTGATCTCCAACACAGTAGAAGGATTATTCTGGTGAAGCTTATTTTCTGCTCCACTGCTGAGGAAACACACTACAGGCAACTTGATTTAGGATTTGCTGTGGGGGGAAAGTGGGAAGAGTGAGAGGAGTTATGTATACGTGCTCCAAAGAGGAAAAAGAATGAAGCAGAGGAAGATGAACATCCATCCGAACCTATCTTATTCCTTCTTCAGCTTCTTCTCCAAACCCAAAACCCAAGAGTATGAAACTCTGCAAAGAGCTGTTCAGTTGACAGAATTAAAGCCAATGTCTCAGTGTCATTTTCTAGTTAAGAGGTGTGAGACAGGTATCTTGGAAAAGCAGTTGTCAATGGTCCCCCATTCCTGAGGGATTCTATGGAAACACAAAGTACTTCCGATGTACAGTATCTCCAGTCCACTCCATAGAGAAGACCAGTGTGTATTCCACTTTAGAAGTACTATGCTAAAATTAACTCTTTCTTTAAATGCTTATTTTTGGTCTTACTGGGCAAAGCTATAACTTGATTTTCATTTAAATAATTCAGTGAGTTAATGTACCCAGTTATTGTGGAGATACAATCAGAAGATTTCTCAGTCCTTGTTTATGTTTTCTGATATTTTAGAAACTGACTCTTATATGAACAGGAATTTAAACTATTTTTGCATCAAAGTCTCTACATATCATATATAGCTTATATACCTATTTTTACTCTTTATGCCATATATAAATAGACATATATACATATATATATATATAAATATTAAAAAGTGGCAATTAAAAAAATCACAAAAGGAATCTTCCTCTGAACTACAAATGAAAATAAAACTTCGTTTTCATATCAAGGTTAAAATTATTTTGAGTTTCGCGCATCTCCATTCATAATAAGGCATTAGAAATTTTAGAATACATATTGTAACAAAATGCAAAAGCAAAATTCACATTCAAATGTAGGAGGAAATGCCATCAAGCCAAACAACTCATGCATAAAGATATGCAAGATAGATGGGAAGATGAAAACTTATTTATGCAGCTTCCTGTATTAACTTACTGCATTTACAGTAGGAAAGGGGTTCTAGATCTCTGTGCATCTTTAAAAATGGCATATTTCCTGTCTACACTAAACAAATTATTTGCTTCAGGCAGAAAAACCTTGCATCTTGGTGAACCATTAATGGAGGAGTCAATGCAGAACACTGTACCAGAAATGCCCAAAAAGAAAAACCCACACACTGTGAATATGCTCTATATGAATTCTTGTGAAAGAAAAAAATGTGTAGAAAAGCCTCATATTTGAAATATCGAAGTTTCATGCCTAATAAGGCCATATTCCAGTGTTTGCCTCTTTGTCCACTCCATCTTTTTGCAGTGTTTAAAAGCTTTGATGTAGGCCGAAGACAGCATGACACAAGATTTTTCTGTAAGAAATAGGCTATGTTTATAATTCCATGCTGAACATTGAAACTTTCCATTAAGCAGCAGAAAGGAGTGTCTGAAGTCCCTTTACACAAGGGCATGAGTCAACATGACTAAGTACAGGAATCCTTATCTCCTGGCTCAGGACTTTTTATGTAGGAAGATGCTTTAGGGAAGGTTTCCATGCAGCTTGTTTTGAATTATATTACAGTCTTGATCCATGTTTACTGCTCCTTTAGGCTTCAGATTTGCATTAACATTTCACAGGTAGGCTTTTGTACCACTAGCTGTTCCTGGCTCTGTGTTCAGCCTGTACATATTTGCCTGGCACTGTTATTCAGCACCACATTTTCAAACCTTCCTGCAACATGATAAACTGTGAACAGAAATTGAACAAAACAAGGCAAAAAATGATGATTTTAGAAAGTGCTCACTTTTAAACTGGCATACCAATTGTCTATATTGATGCTCGATAATTATAACATAATGTTCAAGTGTATTTTCATATTTAAATTACTTTTTTATAACATTCTGGAGTTGTGGGGCTACTGATATATAATTATGCACTGACTAAAATGCTTTGAATGAGAAGAAGTGGCTAGCAAAAACAAAAACAATAACAGCACATCAAGAACATGATGATGGCATGGCATGTGATGGCAACACAATATTCAGCATAACATCAAAGAACCTTCCAATGGAACCTTTTTCCTGAATATAATCGGCAGGCATTGCTGATTTGCTTGCAAAGAAATAGGACTGCAGTATGAACCTAAGGAACTTAAACAGCCTTATTCATTCCCAGGATATATGTGTGACATCAAAATCCATACAAAACTAGTATATGGCAGGAAAAGAGAGATTTACAAGTAGGGATGTCTTAACACTGGTATAAATAGATTGAATCTGCACTTTCTGATTATGCAAATATTTTAGCTCTATAAAATGCAACATTATTTAAATACAGTCCTGTAATTATACTAATTGTAAATATTAGAAATAGGTCATCTTCAGTGCACAGCACACAGATGGAGTGTGGGCAGGGCATATCTTGCCCCTAGTACAAACCTCAGTCAAGTAGAGTGATTTGAAAGGATGGAAACATTCATAATTCAAACATAAATATATTGGAATTATTTAGGAGTTTATAAAAGAATTTAACATTGCACTATGAAAGAAACATGCAAGATTCTAGCTGCAAGATCTCTTGGCTAGAGGCAATTAGGCATTTCAGCAGTTGGTGTAACACAGCTCTGACTAGGATACAGAAATGTACTATGGTATAGTGTGCCTCACCTGGACCTGTCTCAAACACATCCTCTGAACTCCTAAAACCAGACAGGCCCTCAGCACCAACCCGGACTTTATATGCTGTTCCTGGTGTTAAACCCTTTAAGACAAAGAAGCTTCGAGAACCATTTACAATTTCTTTTTTCCAATCTTCTTTGCCTATAAAAATTTTGGAAAACAACAAATGGGAATTTTAATTTTCTCTGTATTACTGAAAGTTTCTAGACAAAATACTACTGACAGTTATTTGACTAAACTATGTATCATCTGAGAAAAATAGCTGTTCTCTCAAAAATAATAAAATTATCAAAAATTACGAGTAATAAATTTAATAAATTGCATGCAACATATTGAAGAATACGTTGTACAATAATTATCAAAGTATTTTAAACATTTGTTCCATTGTACTAAAGAAATGCAAATTTAAGTTATTTTTTAAATGCTTTTTGAACTTGTAATTATAAGATACATTAAAATGGATTTTACTCATTTTATTAAATAGCACTTTTGCAGTTTCAGTCAATATTTATCTTGGCCAAGAAATTCTACTTCAAAATCTGAATCTCTCTTGAGTCTTTTTTCTAGGACAGTCTCAGCTATTTCTTTGGCTAATATCCAGAAAAATGCATTTCTGTTCCAATTTTCAGATTAGTCACCTTTAGTCATGACTTTAGAAGGATGGGGTATTTGAAAAGAAGCATCTTGCTTTTATTATCTAAGTTTGTTTTAATTATTATCAGTATTATCAAAGTTTTAAACATGGTGTTAGGCAATAAGAGCACATAAATTGATTTATATCTTATTTTAAGGTTTATTTAACAAATTATATCTTATTTAATCTTTTTCCTTGCCTGAATTGGGCATAATTTAGGAAAATCCTTGTATCCTGTTTTAATGCAAGTAATTATATTTTTACACATGTAATCACTTCATGAAAACTACATTTTTAGAAGTTCACGTTCAAAAGAATTTATAAAATAATACAAAGGAACAAAGGTTCATATTCTGTCTATTAATCAAAAAACCTGCTAAGCATTGATGTTTATTAAAATGAAAATTATTTGATCTTCCTGATCAAATTATAAAATAATTTAAGACATTTATGAGTCATTAATACTGGGTCAATTTAAGATCCCATTTACTATAAAAGTCTTCCAAAATACATCTCAAACTTTAGCAGAATTTAATGAAATGAATTCTTACTGCCTGCTACACCATATTCAACATAAAAGTTCGCATGATCTGGTCCCTCATACTCCCAACTGATATTGGCATAGGTCTCAGCAGCAGCTGTTGTAACATTTCTGATCCTTGGATAAAGTGGTTGAACTAAATGCACAATAGAAAAACAAAGCAGAATATGCAGTTGTGACTTCACACATTTAAAAAAAGTATTTAAAGAAGTTACTAAGTTAATTTAGACCATATAGAGGGAAAGTATAGTACATTTTTCATTGGTTCCATTACTGGAAATTAGTTACTAAAGTACTGCATTTTGAAATTTAATCCCAGGCAGTTACTACACTAAGAAATTATAAAGTAAAATCTATATACTTTACTCAGAATTCTCTGTACAACAAAACCTGCCAAATACTTAAAAAGTAACTAGCTGCCAAAATTCTGAAAAATATTATTTCTATTCATCTGGAAGTAAAATGCAGACAGCTGGAAAGAGATGAGAACATTGTCAGGGTAATGGGAAATGGTAGGACAGAAGGGAGGCATGAAGGTGGTACACTCCTGCCTTTATGACATGTGGCACTGAATGGGCTGCAAATGCCTCAAGTGCAAGCTCTTACAGGATTTTGGCTCTACTGCATTGATAATGATAAAAAAGGAAGACAATACCCTTATAGAATGTTGGACGAACAGTATGCATGACTGGGGAAGTTGCAAAAAGGATTTCTGAATATCCTTCACCATCAGAGATAGTAGGAAAGAAAAAAAATAAAGAGTAAAAACACTTTGCATCAAAAAGTAGCAGTTAACTAATACAGTAAAACCTTACCTGTTAAATAAATAACACATGCACATTCTAAGATCATGCAGGTTTCAAATAGTTTTACTTGTTAAAATATGAAACAGCTAAGTGATACACATGTATTTGAAGACAAACTGAGGTATGTATGTATTGGCAGCTTTGCTTTCACAGGACATTCCCAAAATCAGCTTTTGTTAATATTATGCATCGATGACCCCTTTAGACACTGGAAAACTAGACATCAGCTATGGGAAAGCCAAGGTCAAAGTATGCTGGAGTGAAGGACATGAAGGAGCAGACTGCAAGGAGCTGCCCACTGTCAGGCACTGTGTCTCACTGCTGCCATTCTGGTCAGACAACAGCACTTCTCACAGACATGCAGAATGCCCACATCTGTGAAAAGATGAGCTTCTCTCTTCAGCATTCTGAAATTAGCCACTTCTGTGTTCACACCTTCGTTCTTTGCTCATACCTTAGCTCCAGCAATGCTTGTTGCAAATGGACATATAGCTCAGTGTCTCTGCCTGCCTAAGACTAATAAAAAATAGATTTTAAGAGTTCTAATGCTGTAATATAGGGCAGATACAGAGAGGATGCTCCTCAAAGGTATGAAATTAGTTTTAACTGAAAATGCCTCACTTTGCCACTGACTTTTCTATCCTGCTAAAAATGTATTTTCTATTAGGAATATATAAAATGCTTCCCAAAGGATCATGAAACACCAGAGGTAAAAATCTAGTGTCAGTAAAGACAAATTACAGAATTCCAATGGCTTCATCTACACGAGAAAATAAAATGAGCAAAAGCCTGTTAGCAAGGCAAAAAAGGCTGCACAGAATTTATCTATGCACTTAAATTACTTTCTTCTTCTAAGAGGCTGGCTTTGTCCATATGGCCAGCTGGAAAAAGTTCAAATTTATATGCACACAGAAAATTGCTTACTTGGGCCCCTAGAACAGATGTCTAGAAAACTATAGTTTCTGAGTATTTTTAAAAATACCTAAATTAATCAAATTCCATCAGTTCTTCTGCTAATGTATTCTGATTATTACAGTGTTTTACAGAATTAATTTTTATCCCCATATTTGCATTAGATATTTCCTCTTAATTCTGTTTCAGTAGTACTCATTCAACAATTCAATCTGTACTGCTCCATCTGATGTTTTTGTAGCTAAGTTGTGCTTATATATAATTTCTTTCACCAACCAAAATAATAAGGAATATATTGTTTAAATAATAAAGAATAGATTAATTTCTTGTTACAACCACCTGAACAAAATAATTGAGAAAGCACTAGATTTAAAAAAAAAAAAAGGCAAGGGAAAAAACCAAAACAAAACAAAACAAAAAAAAAAGGCACGCCATCTAGGTCTCTAAGGCACAACAACTACCCCAAGAAATACCAAAGCCAGAGCTGCCTATGATTTGGAAATCTAGCATGTAATGGTAATACAAGGGGATTAGATTCTGCTTCTCTGTGCCACTTGTGGAGGTAGCAAAAGGAAAGAAAAGCAGTCTCTAAATTTAGGAGGGAGCAGAGTCTGAGATTGCAGACAGGATGTATAAACTTCCTTCCTGATTTAGACATAGGAACAGGTGTTTATTTCAATAACAATCTCAGCATTTGTGCTGTGCCAAGAAAACAAGAGGTTTGTATTTCAAATAAGACTTTGTTTTGTTTCATTAAATTGTATTTTCTCAAAGCTATATTGTCCTGGATTTTGGTCTTCCATGGAAGATGTCTAATTAGCAGCCCAACCATATGACTGATATTTTTCACAATAGCAAAGATAGAAAAAGCTGTTAGCAATAATCTGTTTCATACTCCTGCAAATAGATGCCACAGCATTACCCCTAACTTCTCCCTTCTCATGCCAGAGCACTTGGGGATGAAAGAAACTGTCTCATCTTCTGTGAAAGACTCCAGATGATGGAGAGTGTCTGAATCACTAAGCAAATTCAACAATCGCTCGATCTTATTTTGTGGGGTATTTTTCCATCTCCAGTTTCCAGTTTCTGCTGTCATTGAGGAATTACCTGCTAGATTAAAGTATCTGGTAAAAGTCTTTTTGTTCATATAATTGATCATGTGTTCATATGATCAAACAATCAATTTTGCTATGAAAGTTACCAAAATTCCTTGCTATCTTACTTCTAAATTCTCTCAAGTGACTGATTTATGCTTATATCCATCAAATGTACTCGTATCTGATTCTTACCAATAGCTGTATGCACAGATTTACCCACATGTAGTATTTGGTCAGATTTGAACTCTATGGTTTTTAACTATTGAATACAGTGCACCAGGAAATTTGTTCAGTAGCATATCTCTTTGCAAAATTATTATTTTTGCAATTCTCCTCTTTTGTATTATTGCTTGATCTCATCTGCCATAAGGCCTGCCAAGTTTTACTTAAGTCTGTTAAATGTGCCATATTTGCCACATGACTACACACAGAAGAACATAAAAGAAGGCTGATGGATCCTGAGGTGATTAAAGCCTGGAGGTGATTTGGTTACGATATTTAAAGCTTCTAGTCAATCCACCCAGACTCTTTGTCTTCTCAATCATCACACCTCTAATTATAATTAACCTCTCAGTTCTTCAATATGTTTCCCAGCACTGTTCACAAATGGCAAATGTGTAATTGTCAGCTGGCAGACGCTCCCAGCATGTGCAAGTGCCAGCTGGGAAAAGGTGGGGGAGAGGGGCGTGCAGGAAACTTTGACCTGGTGAGCAGAGAACTGTGCTCTCTCATCTGTAACCATGCCCCACACTGTGTAGCAGTGCTGGCAAAAGCATCACTCCAAAAAACATGGGAATGGACTGTTAGTAAGCTACAGGTTTTATACAGACCCACTCTTATTTGTCTACCTCTGGAAAATAAAGCTTTTTCATTCCTGGCTCAATGCAAAATTTAGCTGGCATTTCCAAGTATGGTTTCATTCCTGTAGTATCATATAAAAGCATTTACCAATTGTTGAGAAAGAGACCTAGGCTGGAAGTAAAATTTAATCTTATTTTCAAATTAATTCCAGTGCTTTTTTACTGGAGTTTTTTGGTAGAGTTTTACATAATTTTTCAGCCTTTCAGGAACACAGTTCCTACAAATAACAGTTATAGTCAGGCTGCAGAATCAATAGAATTTAATAGGACAGGACATGAGATTGGAAGCTATTTTAATAATGAAATAGGTACTCTTTCTCAAGATTTAGTCCAGAAGAACAATAAATCAAGTAATCCCCAAAGTGACTAAACTTTAGGAATTGTCATGGAATTCACCTGATATTCAGGAAAAAATGTTGTGTGAGTGCTATGCACAAATTTGAAGACTAGTGTCAAATGGGGTAAAAAAACTTCACAAAACAATACATCATAGACAATTAAGTTAAAATGTATATATAAAGAGAAAAGTTAACTATAAGGAAAAAACCCATACCCACACAAAAACAAAGGACAAAGGTAATAGACTCTGCCAGAGTCTGTCAGATATAGAAAAGGGGTTTATTTTCCTTTGCCTTTTTAACATTTTCAGTATGCAATTCAAGCTTTAGTATAACAGTAGGAGTGAATTCAATTTCTGGCAGTGAGAAATGGGCATCAGTCACTTCTGGGATTATTGAGGCCAATTGCAAGAGCATTTCTGTAGTGTAAGAAGTACAGAAGCCAAAGAAGAAATGCAAAAGATAATGTCATTGATGAGCATGTGGCATGACATTTATAAAGCAAAAAGCATTTTCAGGAACTTTTGCACAGTGATAATTAAAATTTTCTCTAGTCTAGCATGCAAAGCTTCAGCATTGTTCCCAGTGAACTTAAAAGAGGACAAAGAGTGGTTCTGCATAGCAGGCTGTACTGAAAGAATCACACAAATACATAATGGAGAAGTCCACAGGGGGAGATTGGCTGAAGTGGCAATACAAAAATACTACACTTAACTTGACTGTAAAAGCAGCTTGAAATTGTTAGCAAAAGACATGGAGACCTTATGTGAAGTGATTCAACAGGGAGGAAAAACAGATGGTGGGCAGAGAAAATTATTTAAAGAACTGCATTTTGTACAGAACAAAGAAAACTGAGATGATCTTCTACAAAGAGATCAGAGATATAAACTCAGTTGAGACTGATTTCTAGCCTACAGTGAGGATGTACACACTGGTGATTCAGCTGAAAATCCCAAAAGAATAGCTTTAAACCCAGAGGACAGACTACTTATTTATCCCCCTTGTGACAAAAGGAAGTACTATTTGTCAATAGTACTTAAGAAGTTCACTAGAAGAAAACAGACCAGATTAAGTACCAGTGACAGGAGGCACTAGCTACAATTAAAGGTTACAAACTTATTTTAATTCCATTTCAAGACTACCAGTTACCAGTGTCAGCATGCATCCAGATTAGAAGTCCTTGTTTTAAAATATAAATGTTGACTAAATAAAAAAAACCTAAAAAGTGAAATGAGGATGCTTGTGGGATGAGGCTGACATGCCATGCCATGACTCCCTATACTTCAGCTTACAAAAACATGCACCTCTTTGACTCTTTATTTTAACCAGTAACTTTCATTTCTACTCCTGGTCAAACTGGAATTTTCTTCCTTTCTCTACAGGGCAGTTATTTAAAACTCCTAATTGAAAAGGACAGAAAAGACTTGACTCCTGTGATCACCTGAGTCATGTTGCAGCTGCTACTACAATTATTTTATATGTAATTATTTTATATGTAATTGGGTTATTCCCCCATTTTTCTCACATTTCTGTCACCTCATGCCTGTGGTTAGATGCCAATATATAAATGGCCAATACCAGGGAATGCTTAATATCTAACATTAGGTTTGATAAATTCTTTTTTACATATGAAGTTTTCAGGCCCATTTAGAATATGGGTTGCTAAGAAAAACTATTTCTCTTTTTCTTTGTAGTACCATTAATTTGATCAGTTTTAAGTAATTCATAACATCACAGTATTAGAAAGGAAAAATAATAAGTGCAAGTCAAACAGGAATATCAACTATAATAGAATAGCTTTTTTCACCTAGTAAATAACACCTAATGATTTACTTGTGTAGGGTTGTGACACTAAAAATATTGGATCTATTAAGATCCTTTGATTTACCACAGCAATATATCTCTCTGCACTTTAATTTACAGTTTTACTGTGAGAAGTGAAATATGTCCCAAGCGGCACAGCTCACTAAGGTTTAAATTATTTTAATTCCTCCAGGACCATGTGTCTAATGTCTATGACTGGCCAAGCTGCAGGTCTTCACAGGCAGCTATCCAGCAGAAAACACCAAATGCAGAAATTTGAGTTCAGCAGTTTAGGCTGGCTGAATCTGGAACCTACTGTCTACTTAGATTCCAGGATCAGTGTGTTCAAATCAAAAGAAAAAGGATAATTACATTTTCCTGGTAAGTTCTGCCCTTCAAAATTAAAAACCTGATATTTTTTTGATAGACTACAAAAAAGGCTGGGAATATCTAAATTTGTTCTTGCTTTGGGTCCAAATCAAAATAACTGTATTGACATAGAGGCCCTCCTGCACTTAATAGAGAAAGGAAAGTTTACTGCTGGGTACAGCTACTTTTTGAGTGGGCTGAGCATTTCTAACTTCCAAATCCACCACTCAAGAGGACCGACTAATTTGGTGCTTGATGTGGTAATATGATCCTCCTTTTCCTTGCTCCTGGTCCCTGATCAGTGGCAAAGCAGTTTACATGGTAATGTAGTAACTACTGAGAGCATTCATCTCAGACCTGCAGAAACTCATTTGCTCACACAGATGTCATGGCTTTAGTTCTGTGCTGTTTGCCGGTCCAAAGCCTTTGCAATTGCAAGAGCTACATGCTACAGGAACATGTGAAAACATTGAAACCATAAACCATATGGAACTACAAACATCTGCTTAGTTTTCAGAGAATCTGAGATGACAGCTCTGAAATGTGAGCTGCTCCAGCTAATCTTACAAATAAGATGCTTTCTGATAGACACATACAGCTATAATTAGACCTCAGTTTCACACAGAGAATCCATTTTTCCTTGAATGAATTTTTAGAGTCAGCTATAAATAATGACAACTTAATTTACATTTCTGCTGTGCATGTCCAGGACTAAAGCCAGTTTGTTCCAATCTCAGCTACGACTAGACTAAAATGGTAAAAAAGACTTATCATCAAAATAATTCCACAACTTCACACACTTAGCAGAAACACATCTGATATCAGAATACATATATATATATACATATAAAAATCTATACTTTATATGCCCAAATACAGGCATACATATATTTCTACATTGTCTGATTTGTACCAGACTGTGTGAATGAATTTCTTTCTTATGGCTATCATTCACAACATCTGATAATCAAGCGAAAGGAAACTATATGTAAAATACTTCATGCTGTCTCTTCCAAGTTTATTAAAAATGTCAGGTACTTCACATACAGATTTTGACTTGTGATGTTTATGGTATGAGAATCTGAAGCACAGGTGTTCACTAGTGTTAATGACACCTGTCATTCAATGGCACCTCTGTAGAGAAAGTGTTCCTGAGTTTGAACTACCTCAGGACAACCTTTGCTTCTGACAATGCAGATATCAAAATTCATTAAAACTGTGTGCAATAAAGAACTAAATATTACCAAAATTCATTAAAAAGAATGATCCTAGCTTGTACTCACTGAAATATCCTCAAGTACTCATTCACAATATCTGTGAACCTAAAACAGTGGGAAGACATTTGCCTGTACATTCAATCTGATACTCAAACTGAGAAGTAGACAGAGGGTATTGTCAGTCATCTGTCTCCTATGCACAGTTGGCTTGCAAATGAAGTAAATGTGTTCAAGTGGGTAGCAGTAATCCACAGTGAGAACAAGATTACAGATAGTTTTTTAAAACAAAAAATGCACATGACACAAGCAGTAAATGAATATCCTTTGCTAAAGTGCAGTTTTTTCTATTCCAGCTAATCAGTGCTAGTGCACCTGTATCCTGAATATTTATGACAGTGGCATACATCTGCTAAATGTTCAGAAATAATTGGACTTTGCTGAAGCAAAGCTAATGAATTCCTCTGGAACTCTGTGGCAAAATAAACAGATGAAAGGTATTAATAAGCATTCTGGATTCCTTAAAAAAAAACCCAACAAACCCAAACAAAAAATCCCCACAACTGTTTTCTTCCAGTACTGATTACACTTTGTACAAAAATGTGTAGTCCAAGATTTTCTGTCCTTACCACTGCAATTTCCCCATTTGCAACACTGCTAAATCCACACATTAATAAATCATGCAGTTTCATTTTACCTTTGCCTGCACCTACAGCAGGACGGAGAATACCAGCTTTAATGGAGGAAAACAAGAATAGGAACACTACATAATTAGATACAACACCAAAGGAAACATACATATATAATTTCACTATAAAAGGCATGCAGACTAGATAAAATGTGTTCATTCAAATAAATTAAAAACAATCCATTTATGCTGAACCCTGACAGACTACTACAAGACAAAATGATTGTACATGCATTTACAAAATTTTATTGGTCATGCTTGTTAGGGTGCAAGATTTAAAATAAATGCAGATCATATGCAAAGAGAAATTGCATTGAATAGCAACTGATCTATGTCAATTCCAATAAACTATCATTTTACTGAGCATAAAAATATGTGAAAACATAGTACCAAAATAAACTTATTAATATAAAAATGATAAAAATTATAGGAAAAAGTTTAAGTCAGCCTTAAATTATTCTTATTTTGTTAAGCATCCATATTTAATTAAAAAACAACTTTAACAAAGTTCTAGAATGGCTGCAAATATAAAAATCAATGGTGACAGGATTTAACAATATACTTGGTGGTTTTTAAATACTATACAGTTACTTGGGGCCAATTTATTTCAAGAGTTTCACAGTTTTTTGCCAGTTCTGTGAAAGCAATTTAGATTTCACAGAAGCTGTTGCATACTACAAAAAAAGAAATAACTTCCTCTAATCACAAACCTGCATCATTCCAGTATTTTTCTCCGTGACCAAAGCTGATTAACAGAGAATTGGTGAATATACAAAGACCACTAAAAACGTAAAGTTACATAAAACTTGAAGCCCAGAAAGGCCAATGTCTGTTTTAGAGCTTGTGAGTTGATATTAAAAGAAGAGGCTTTATCCCTCTTTGGGGATTCCCACTACAGCAGAAAGCCTTTACATGTATTTTCTTCAAAAATATTTAAAATATTTTATTAATATATAACAGTTAAGAAAGCTCTTGAAAAAAAAATCAGTCAGCCTATTTCCTTAGTGGAAGGAAGCAATAGCAATATTTAGATACAGATGTTTAATACTATCTGTAGTGTTTTTAAACTCAAAGGACTTTCCTTGTACATATATATCTTACCTTCATCCATAATTGTTACTGCTTCCTCAGTTATCTGACTTCCTGATCCAACTGAAGTTTGTGCGTTAAAGTAAAACTTGTACCGGGTGCTGTAATTTAAATTTTTTAATATCAAGCTGCTCTCGTTGGCAGGAATTTTTATCTCTACCAAAGGACCCAATTCATGTGTGTTGTTGACTGTTGTTAAAGAAAAAAGAAAAAAAGATTAGGAAACTTGCATACACTATCATTGTGTTTAAAAAGGCTTTTGGTTTGTATGTTTGTTTTTTTTTGCTTGTCTGCTGCATCTACACTTTCAAAAGAAAATACTTTTTTTTGTAACGGTGCCAAAGTCCAGCTGGGAGATGCGAAACACCAGCAAGTTTTTTAAGGTCAAGTTTAATTCTCATAAATCTCTGAATCCAAGACAGATGAGTTCAGTTCAAATGATCTGAATTTATGCAGCATTGAAAAACTCCCTGACTTTTGAAAAAATCTGAAACTCTAAGCTCAGTATACTTAGAAAAAGTAAACATTGAAGCTACTTGTGCCTAATGCCAAAAAACAGCAGGATTTAGTAAGTGGAAGAAAGTAAACTTCCTTTATCTGTTACATGCATATGAAACTCTTTCCTTCCCAGTGTCACTGCTGAGAAATTTCTGGGCTAAGTAGCTAGGATTCAAAAGAAGTGATTTAATAGCTCTGAGATGAGTAAATGGCATATTTATAAATTTTTATTTTTAAGATAATAATACCATGAAAATTGGAAAAGCAGATGACAATGTAATTGGGCATACTTTGATTTACTTCTAATGACATTTTCTCTGCAGTTAGAATATAGAATTTGTAAGTAGTACTATCTTGCATCTAACTTGAAAGCCACTTATCTATAGGACCTCACCTCCATTTGTCTGTGAATTATGGTTTGAAGTAAATAAAGTAATAAAAATGTTAACCTTGTACTACAGCAAGAAAATATTTCCAAGTACAGTCATCTATATTATCAAAATATATGAGTCTTTTTCGAAGTTGACATTTACAATACAATTATATCTTTTGTACATTATAAATGTAGCACAATTTTTTTCTTCATAAATGGATTATTATTTGGTAGATACCTTGCCTAAGTTAGAGTTTTATCACAGAATCAAACGATGGTTTGGGTTGGAAAGGACTTGAAAGATCAGAAGTCCAACCCCCAAAATAAATTAGTTTTAATTTTAACTTACTTGGCTGAAACTTCAGCGTATATGATGTCAAAACACCATTTGGATGGGTGGGTGAACCCCACTCCAGAGTCAGAGAGTCCAGTGTTGGGTTAGTAATCTTCAGAAAGGAGGGTGAACTAGGAACTTTTAAAAAGAACATAGAGTAAATACAAAGTAGATTAACTTTAAACAGGTCATTAATTATTAATTCTTAAGATTATTGCTGTATTGAGACAGATAATAATTTTATGAAGTCCAAGTAAACCTCATTTAAGTTTAATATCTTGGTTTTTCATTTCATACCTCCTTCAGGGGTGTTAAATACTTTGTCTGGGCTTGCTGGTCCTTCTCCTTTACCATTAACAACTCTAACATTCAGCTTGTAGGAACTATAGGGCTCCAGCCCTGGTAACATTCCAAAAGTCTTGTTTCCCCTGAAAGTCAAGATCTTTTTTTCTATGTGTCGTCTACTCCTTCTGGATAGACTCTGCACTTTCCAGTAGTAAACCTAAAGACAGCAAAAAAAAATATTTAAAGTGAATGCTTAGCTGTTCTGATTTTCTAAACTCTGAGCTTTTCCATAAATGACCATGAATTATAGGTAGAAGCAACTGCAATTTGAATAAGCTCAGATTAGACCCAGCACAGATCTTTCCTGCTCAGAAATGGACCTTGTCCAGAAAAAGTCTACACAACTGGGTGCGAACTACTGCCTGCCAGTTCTGCTAATGCTCAAAACCAGTTTGATACAAGTTCTGGTTGGGAACTGCATTGGTCTGTGATCATTCTCCTGTTATCCAGTCTATCTGAGAGGCAGAAGTTATCCATTCTTTCTGTAAGATGTCTACAGCCTTCCAAAGCAGATTTGGACCTTGCCTCCTTGTTAGATCACATCCCTGACTATGCTAATCCTTGATGTCAGATTACCTAAAAATGGGGGAAAAGATTTGGCTTGGCTGTAAAAACACACAAGTTCTGCAATTACTCTAAGGTTACAGTACTGGAATGATCTCCACCTAGGGATGGGAACACTGTTCCTCCAATTATGTGACAATTTGATCAGATGAGAAAGCTGATTCTGATGTCCATTGAGCTGACTGAGTTTCTAAGAAACTACATATGAGCCTCAGAGGTACTTTCCCTTTCTCTTTACTACACAGTCTCTCTCATATAGGAAGATTGATCTATTTTAATAAACAAGGAAGAGAATGACCGTACTTACTTTGTACCCTTGAAGGTGTCCTCGGACAGTTTTTAGTGGAACTGGGTCCCAATGCACCTTTGCTAATGTGCTGTTAATAACATGAACCTGCACATTGCCTGGAGCAACCATTGGCACTGTGTGGAAAGGATGCAACAAGCACCTAGTTAGAATTAGAAACCACACAAACATAGTTTTTTAGAATGAGTCTTTGCATTGCACTCATGGAGTAGGTTAAAATGTTTCTATGTTTTCAGGATTGATACTACAGAGTAGTAGTCTTTACTATCTCCGAATTGCTTTCTTTTAATTAAAAAAATAACTACTATCCACCTTATCAATATTTCAGCATCATAAATACCCATTCAGGTTACACATTTAGTTTATTTTTATTAGGATAACTGAGTCAAACTACAAAACTTACAGTCTTCCCCTGAATGTCCAATCACCTCTGATGGCTCTGGTGCATACCCCAAGTCATTTAAAGCTTGCACTTTTACTTCATATGGAACAAAGGTTGGTGTACCAGACACAATATATTTAGATACATTTGCAACTATAACAGATGTCCATTCATCATCAACATCTTTCTGGCGCCAGCTGACTTTGTACTGAAGCCCTGGTCCATTAGACTGAAAACCTTTTAAAGGCTGAAATGAAAATAAATATTTTTTTTAATATACTGAAGCATCTAAAAAAATCTTAACTTAGAAAGAAATACAGTAATTCTTTTATAGAATGTCACTGAAAATTTACCACTGTGTTCTGCAACAGAGAAGCACTGCTGAAAGTTATGCAATTTAGCTTTTACAGGAGGTCACTTCAGTTGACCAAGTTTTTTTTCAGTTTTCACTCTTTGGTCAAAAGCACATTGAATGATGTTGGTGGCTAATTCCTACACAAACAGCACATTGTGTTTTCCGTATATATATTTTGTTTTCAAATATTTCTTAAGAAGAAGAGAGAAAACCAGACTTGCACCAACTCCTTGTAAAGAGTGCACCCTAAGCAATATTTCTTGCCTGAAAGGGCAAATTGATTATACACGGCTCTCCTTGAACTCCTGTCATGATGGTAAGGGCATGATGCAGAAAACTTCAACAGAAGTTTTCTAGTGGGAAAGTGCACAATCATTAGTTTATCATAACAGGTAAGAGTAGAAGTAGCATTCACATATAAATTCACTCTAAAAATTAGACTGTACTTGAAATAAACCTCCATTTATATTTTGAAATTTTCCTAAACTGACAGCAAAACATCCTGTATTACTTAATTATTGGCTTATCTTGAGAAATCACGCAAGGAAATATGCCCCCCCACCTTTAACTTATTTTCATATTTAAAAAAAAAATCAGTTTTTTCATGAAAATGAAGATGGGGAATGTATGAATTTAGCTCTTTTTCAAGTACATTTTAAGCAGGCAACTGGGTATTCTTATCATTGGTTCTCAAAAAAAAAAAAAAAGCTACTCACAAACTTGAAAACAAATGAAAACTTGAAAAAAGACCCATCTTACCTCCCATGTTATTACCAAATTATCAGGTTCTGAGCCTATCCCCTGTACATTAGCAGGATTTTCATCAGGGCCTAAAAATGAAATATTTACACGTGAACAAGAATGGCTGCTGTGTGCTTCAAAGCAAACTCAATGATATTCATAGCAGGAATCAATTGCTGGTAAGTGGGAATCATTATTTACTTGCAGATTTTGTCAGGTACTGCTCAGATGGCTCACTTGGCTGGCTTCTGCCAATCTTATTGACAGCTATCACACGGAACGAGTAGTTGACATAGGGAGACAACTTGAGCTGCGCCGTTGTCTGAGTGCCAGGGACTTCCGTCTGGTAATGCCACACTCCTGGTTCATGCAGCGCATCTTCATACTCAATTACAAAGTCTGCAAGCAGGAATTGAATCCAACTTTATGTCAAAACTTGAATCGGCTCCCCAGACAAGTATAGGCATTTCTGAATGAGCTAGCCAGAAGGGATTGCTCCAACCAGCACTTTCAAAAATCATGGAACATGACATGTAAATACATAAACCATAACACGGATCTAAAATGGAGATATCAAAAGTAGAAATAAAGGTGAAATATAAAAAATAAACTCTTACTTTTATCCTTTGGTACTTTCACTAATGCAGCTATCTCTCAGGTAGCACATTATTACAAGAACTCTCTCTCAGGTACAGGATTTTAATTTAATGGGAACCCTTGAACTATAACAGCAAGCAAGTGGAATTTGACTCTGAAATACATTGGTCCTAGTTGTATCAAGCAGACAGCAGGGAGTAGCTGTATAAATTTAAAACTCCCTGAATATTCCATTTTCCCCAATGAAACTGGCATAATGAAAATCTATTTAAAGTCAAGAACCTATACTTAAGGAAGGTTTTTGAGAGCACTTTTCATTATCTTCAAATTAAATCAGGGAATGTATGCTCAGAAACTAAATTTCTTGAGAGTACTCTGTGTGAATATTATGATGATTACCGTTAAGACCTTACAAAGTATATATAACCTCACAGATAAATAGGTTTGTAGAATTCCAAAAATAAAATCATATACATTATGAAAGACAAAAGGACATTGTTTTACAGATGTGAAACAGCCAAAAAACCTTGCTGTAAGATTTGAGATATGGATTAGGGAGAATTTTTAGGACACAATAAATAAATGGGAGAAGAATTTACAGTCTGTGTAGATTCCACAGAACCTGGAGCATAGAAAAATGCACAAATTGAGAGCAAGATGTAAAAGAGGTAAGTACTAATCACAGCCTTCTGGCTGGCAGATTTCATTCTGACCTAAGTAGTAAGAGAAAGAGGGAGTATTGACCCCAAATTACTGTCTGAGCTACTGCTGCTGTTATGTGCTCAGTGATACAGGTCTTGGGATGGGACATTTCCTGGATAAAGCTTTGCTGAAAAGGTGAGAATATTATATGCCAGAAAGGTTTTCAGGTTTTCACTACTGCTTTTTGCTTCCCTGGTCACTATCCTTCTGCCTGCAACTCTAGCAGAATAATTTATTGGCAGCTTCAAGGGAAAAAAAGAAACTATCTGAGCTTTCAGAGAGAGTCAAGCATGTCAGTCATATTGTGCAAACAGATCACTCCTAATGAAGTGCAATCCTTGAATCTTCATCTGCACTTTGAAATGATTTCAAGTGAATCCTTGATTCTTCATCAGCACTTTTGCAGCAGCAAAAGAAATAAGCTTACTCAGGAAGCAAATGCCTTATTTTGCAGCCTCTAAGATGACCATGCAGCAATATAAATTGTATTATAATTAAATCCAGCATTATTTAGTTAGAAGAGTTCAGTTTCCAATATGAGAGTGCATGCAGTATCTTGTTCTAGAAAAACCAACAAGAGACAACACTGCCTAGTATTAACTTTTTTGCAATGGTTTGATCTCATTCCTACAGAAATACAACATTTCTGTTTGCTGGAGCTGAAAAAATGAGAATACTAATGAATGTATATGTATATGAATAAACCACTATTCAACGATTTACATTGATCTTCTGTATATTGCATTTTAAGGTATATTACTAGTTGATATACATTAGAGATGCCTGAGACTGTCAAATTTCATAAAAATCAGTGTTTCATTAAAATGTAGTCAAGATCTTTGATGTGTTCAGAAACTTGTGAAATTCTGGTTTTTACAAATCTTCCTTCCCAGATACCTGATCCTTATGGTTTGTTTTCAGTGTTAGTACCGACCCAGCATCAAACACTGGAGAGCAACACTCAGTAAGTCAGTCTGACTAATTACTTCCAAACACAACATCTACACTGGTCTTGGCAACTTGTGGCAATTATTATCTAAAAACACACTGCATAAATAATGATGTCGTTGAATTAAATTGCTCATAGGGAAAAAGTAATGTCAAAAAGTCTTTCTGATCCCATTATTTTTTGGAAAAGAAATATTAATATCTTTGTTCCTTGCTCCTAAATTCCCCCTCTATCCTCTCTGCTCAGTATAGGCAAGAGTTTTCATTATGTTTAATGGGAAGAATTACAGCATTTAATATCAATTTACTGCCTCAAAATTTTATAAATATTTAATTGCTTTGTTTTATGGACATGGTTTATTCTTTTAACTGTCTGGACCCAGAGAAACTATCTACCTTATATTTTCATGAAGAATAAACTTCTGTACCAGTCAAGATTGGTAATCACTGATGATGGTGGCACTATTTCAAATCATGCTATTGATGATGCTATTTCAAATCACAGAATTACAAAAGAGTTAATGCAAGATACTAGTAGCTCTCTCTTTCAGAAACATACAACCAATGAACAAGCCTGTTCTCTACATATTCATAAAATTGGACCTTGTCAGACAGACCTCATATCAATATATGTAACTTCTGTATTATCTAGCACAACTTTTTAAATCAAAAAGCCCAACTCTTCTGGTCTTCCTGCTTGGCTGTACAGTAGAATTAAGGGTATGTTATGTAAGTGAATGGCAGCTGTAGAGAATTAATTTACTATTTTCCCATGCTGTACACAAAATTTATTCCAGAAATATTTTGAAATTTGGTAACAACACCTTCAATGTAGTGTAGTAGATACAAACATACTTGTAATGGGACTGTTGTTTTCATCTCCTGGTATCCAAGAGAGATCAATGCTTCTTTCTAGCTGACCTGTCAATTCCAAGTCAAAGGGTGGATTTGGCCGAGCTGTAAATTGAATGAAGACAAAGTAAGTAACCACACCAGAATATGTGCTTTAGTATTTGAAAAAAAAATCCTTACATTCCAGTCAAAGAATTCCACAAATACAGCAGGGCAGGTCTACTCACTTACGTAAACATGACTTAAAGACTAATAGCATGCAATTATTACAAAACAGACAAAAATGGAGAACTGATGTAACCTGGAAACTTCTATACATTAACAAGAACTGGTATTTATTTTTATCTATATCTGAGTGTACTGTGATATAAAAATGTGATGAGATGCAAGGAATTATGAAATGCCTGTTTAGTTTATCTTTGAATGATTATGGGTGGTTATCTATTGTAACAGACATACTTCATACAACATGGAAAATAAAGAAACATTCATATCAAAGAAGCCTTTCTAGAACCATTACAAATATTTTTATGTGAATTCAAAACAAGTATACTTCACACAGAAACTAATTTCAAGTTACTAAATTATTTATTTTTTGCTGTTCTTTTAAAAAGGCTCAGAAATACCACACAAGCTGTTATTATACATCCTTATAACACATCAAGATGTAATTGCCCATTCTAAACTCATAAAGGCAATTTATGATATGATTTGTTACACAAAAATCACAACTAATAAGTAGGTTCATGTAAGAATACATAGGCATTTTCACTGATAGGATTTACATAAAAGTGCTTAAAAGTCTTATACTTAAAAGTGTTTTAGCTTATTATGCTGCACTTGAACCCCCAAATTCAGAAAACATGCTACCAAATTAAAGATTCTATACCATCAAATTTAAGACTATGCCTAAAAGATTTTTTTTTTTTTAGTATTAACTTATATTTTAAAATCTTGGCAATTTCATCAATTACAAGTCAAACTGGTTAATATGGTCATATTCATCTTATGAGTGAAGTAAAAGGAAGATAAACTATGAAATAAAAAAATAAAATAGAGCAGGACTACAAGGCTGCAAAACCAATGTTAACATTAGTTAACATACAACATAATTTGGTTCAGGCGAAGTCTTTAATAGTGAATTACCTTTCACCAAAGAGTTGGATTTACATTTTAGATATTTTCTTTATTATATAACTAATTTGTATTACAGTGTGGTCTATGAGAAAAAACATTGCCATACTATACCCAATCTTAATTAAAAATAATTTATCTCTGAAAACTACTTATTCCCTAAACATAAATCAGCCTGCACTGTAACATTCCTAAGTTCTGTGCGATAGTAATGAAGTAGTTGGTAAAATGGGATGAAACCACATAGACACAGACACACACACACACGTTGGAAAATGGGAAAAAAAAGGCAAAAAAAATTGCAACAGGGAAATGAGCCTGATGATGTAGAAAGAGAACTTTGTTTTAGTTTACCGTAAATGATAGCTGGTGTTGGGGGAGCAGCTGTAAAGAACATTAATATAAAGGATTTAATCAGTTAGTAGCCAAAGAAACAGAATATTGTAGGTAGTTAAAGACTATAGTTATTAGAGACAAAGAAAAATTAACTTATTTAGATTAAATGGTTAATTAAAAAAAACCACATGATAATTTTTCCCTGAAGAGCTAAAAAAGTGTTCTTGAATATTTTATTAATTTTTAAAAATAAGAATAGGTCAAGAAAATAAATAAAATAAGCAATTCTATAAAAGCATCTAAATAAGTACTAGTTTTTTGGCTTAGATCATTCTTGAATAGGCATAAGATCACAGCAGAATTTTAAAACACAAACATACTTGCTCTGAGTCTCAGAGTGAACTCATGTAAGAATCATTCACGACATCTACTTAAAACTTTCTTGCACATTGGAGAAGGGGCAAAGTAATATATTTGGCAAGAATCTGCAACCATAAAAACTTAACAGAAAACTAACATACAATCCATGATAAGTCACACAACCAAGTATGCTCAGTCTTTCTGAAGCATAATTCAGTTGTCAAAGAGGATCCTGAGATAACATTCTCCCAACACAACAAAGACATGTTCCTGTTGGAAGGAGTCTGGAGCAGAGCCACTAAGGTGACCACAGAGCTGGAGCACCTCTCCTATAAAGACAGGCTGAGAGAGCTGGGGCTGTCCAGCCCAAGGAAGAGAAGGCTCTGGGGACACCTTAGAATAGCCTCCCAGCACCTACACAGGCTCCAAGAGAGCTGGAGAGTGACTTTTCACAAGGGCAAGTAGTGGTAAGACAAGGAAGAATGGCTTCAGCTAAAGCAGAGTGGGTTTATGTTATGTATTACAAAGATGATTTTTATGGTGAAACACAGGAACAGGTTGCCCAGACAGGTTGTGTGGAAGGTGTCCCTGCCCAAGGCAGGGGGCTTAGAACTAGATGATCTTAAAGGTACCTTCCAACCCAAACCATTCTGTGATTCTACCATGTTTATGTTCAAATACCCTGCAAAATTGAACTTCCTGTAGTAGCTCAGATGTGATCAAAATAAAAAGCTATACAGCACGAATCTGTCCTCTAGCTACTCAGTCATTTTGTAAGTAGCTAATTCAAATGTAAACTGTAAGGTGGGACTACATTTTTTAAAAATTGAAACACATTGACACTTAAGTGGCATTTCCTTTGTCCTGGACTAAAAACCAAAACTATGTTTGTGCTTTTCACTTTAAATCTAATGCTGTTTTCATACTTAACAGTAGACGTTTGAGAGCATTCTTACCAACAACAGTAAGCACAGCACTTGCTGAAACACTGTCCAGAGTAGTATTAACTATGCAAGTATATGTTCCATCATCTTTATCAGTTACATTCATAATGGTCAAGTTGTCTTTACCAACTAGAAACCTGTAAATACAACAAATTCAGCCATTGATTTTTCAATAACTGGCACTATTATAGGAAACTTGCATAAAACATTATCAAATCTCATATACTTGTACATACCTAAACAGCTATATTTACCCAAGGTAAGCTACGGGACAACTTTATTTTTTTTTTTATTGATTGCTCTTGACCATCTTCCCACAGTAACTTTTATTCTAATGTACTTTTCTTTCCAAATATATTCAAAGGAATTTGAAATATTTGTGATCCAGAGCAAAATAGCTTTCTGTTATCTGTTTAGCTTCTCATGTCAATTATCTTTACCTTACACATTATCTATAAGATCAGTGTGCAAAGTTTGTATAAATACTTACATCTCATTTTTAAATTCTATCTTAATATTTTCATCACACTAGATAAATCCTTTAGTCACCAAATATTGGATAGCCATGATCTTTATCTGTATTCTTTGGAAAATGTCAATGGTCAATATGTTCCTTTCAAAGATCAGAAAAAGTAGCAGACAAAAGGACCTAAAAATTAAAAATAAAGGAAAACTATGTGGTCCTTACCTTTCATCATCTGGCAGTTCATCATTGTTCTTCAACCATGTAACAGTTGGTAGTAAGGTAGAATCATGTTTTATTATACACTCAAAAGAAACCTGGCCATATCTCTGAATCACTTTGTATTCTGGCTGTTTAATGATCATCGTTGGATCTGAAATTTAAAATTAAAATTAGATGTCCAGAAAGTCTGAAATCCTGTACTAATCAGTGATGAAAGAATGACTAATTTCTCACCTTTAATTTCCAACTGCACCTCATTTTGTATCTTTCCTAATTCATTTCTTGCTACACATGTGTATGTACCAGCACTATTCTTCTGAGCCACCGGAATTTCCAAGGTTCCGTTATCATGAAAAACGTATTCATTTCCACGCAGGATGCTACCTTTCACTCCCTTAAACCTTTATATAAGAAGTAATATCATTAGCCAGCATCACAGTTAAATTCTGTATGGTTTTATTATCAATAAAACACAAACTTAGGACTGCTGCATTGGAAAATAGAAACAGAAGCACTCAAAGAAATGTAAACTTGACTCTGCAGGCATAACTTTACTGCTGGTTCATTAGGTATATGCAATATTACATTAGGAAATGGTATACAGCATCTATTTTTAAATATACTATTTTAAAATAGTAAATAGTGTTAAAAGAGTTTTAAAGCTTTAAGTGTTTGTTTCCATAGATATAACTGGCTCATCCAGTGTAACATAGGCACAGCTAGAGCTTACCATTCAATTTCAGGCTTAGGTGACCCAAAATAAGTACAGTCTAGCAATGCGGGACTGTCTGCAATGACTTGATACAGTTTATTAGCAGGAGTTAGAATTCTTGGTGGCTCAGCTAAAAAGACAAAGATATCTTCATGTAGTTACGAAGTCACAAGTAGTAAAAAGTATAGTTACAAATACAAAATACAAAGACATTAATGGCTATAGAATTACATAAAAACTTTTTTCTCTGAGATGATTTCGGATCTCAGTCTGGGTTCAAATACATTGTACCGGTACTAGCCTGAGGAAAAGTTAATGCAGGGAAATTATCTTGTGAAAAACAACTGTTTCTTGCCTATTTACAAGTAATAGTGATGGGCACCAAAAGCAAGGATTTCAATTGGAAAATTTAAATCCGTATATACTTCAAGAAGATAATCTCCTGGGTACAGAATGAACTACCTAATTCCAAACAAACCTGCAGGCAGAAATAAGCTAGGATTCATTTTTGGTGTAACACCTACATTTTCCTTCTTTTAAATGACAGTGTCAATCAACACATCTGCCAGTTCTTGCAGGAGAGTCACTAGAGGCCATTCTGCCTAGGATTTTGCCACTAGCTTTTTTAAATTCAGTGAGAAGAATTAGAGGGGGCACACAACATATTGTAATCAGAAACACATGCCAGGGAAGCCTTAGAGACAAATGCATAATCATGTTCCCTTGCAGCAGCAACTTGGAGATCATCTATTCCACTAATCCAAAACATCCAGACTCAATCAAACTGTATTGAAATGTACTAACTTAAGCAACACTAATTCCTGCTTTCTTTGTCAGGCTTCTGTTAGACTGACTTACACAAACAAAAAAATCAAAAAAGAGATAAAATTTCTTCCACGTTTTCCCAGCTTTCACATCTATCCTTCTCTCTTTGGAACAGTGAAATTCAGGAATATCTTAGAAAAAACAAGGTATGTATACCCTTGCTCTTTACAGGGGCCACGAAATAGATCAATTCCCAGTGAAGACCTCAAGCAAGGCTTGAGCAGAAGAGTCTGTGTGTTAGCAGGAGACAACTGAACACCCAAGAAAACAGAAAAATATAGTCTGTTTCTTACCCAGAACATTCACAAACGCATTTGCTAGCAAGTATCCGTATTCATTAGAAGCATTGCACTGATAGACAGCACTTGACCTTTCTTGCACGTGTGAGAAAATAATGGTGTCACCATCCACCTTTCTGCTAGGATCTTCTGGGGCAACTGTTGGTGTAAAGAAAAAGAGTTATTGCTTTTCCTAAACTGCTATTGGATTGCAAGTTTCATACTTCTGAAAAGAAGGAAGAATCTGAAAGACCAATAGACCCTTTATGTTTTTTTATTCTGGGTGACTGATCACTGGTAAAAATTTGAATTTTAATACAGTTTAAAAAGTTCTTCTCATTCTACAGGTATTGATTTAGGATGGTAGAGTTCCCATTTTTTGAGAAATTTTTTTGTTCGTTTTCCAAGGAAGTGAAGCTGAGATTGTATTTTGCACACAATACAGAGAAAAAATACCAATATTATGAGATTCGAGCAAATACAGTCAATATCTAGAAAATTACAGAAATATTCCTGAATGTCAAAAGAAAATGCTGATACAATGACATAGTCCTCTGTGACTTGAAAGTTTCAAATCAATTGTTACACCATAAATAATTTTACAAATATAAAAATAGCCATACTCAGTTGAAAATTATCTCAGAGTAAAGAATAAGCATTTCTTCTAACCAAGTCAAGAAACAATCTCAAGAGCAGAGTTAGTAATTCAGTAGGTGGCACTCTTTGCCTTATGTAAGAATCATACAGTGCCATTTCCTCGACGGTTCTGCAGTGGCCTGAGTTGTTAAACAGCTTCTGCATCACAGAAGCACCCAGGGCATAACTGAAAATACAATTCTAAGAAAATACTGAAGAAGAGTAATAGTTTCAGTTCTGATACAACTGGATGGCATTAGAGAAGTATAATGAAGAAAAAACTTAGCTTGTAATACCACACTGCATAAAAATGCACAATCTATAGTTTAATAATGAAAATTAATGGCAAAATCACTGACCTACTAATACAAAAAAATAGATGTATTTATACATAAATAAATGCATCCTAGTTTGGCTACATCATCTAAATTGACACCCTTATTGAAGCTTGAAAAAGTATATTTGTGGAACACATTCTCATATAAGGAAATTCTTATTTGAATTCATAAAAAAGATCAATCAACTAAATTAGCATCTATTTTCTGTGACAGGAACCTTTTGATTCAGGCAATATCTTGGTTCTCATCTGTAAAGAAAATGGAACCTGCATTTTCTTGAAGTATGTATTACTGAATTCTCTACAAAAGAAACCAGATGAAGAAGACCACAGTTCCGTGCTCCTGCTTAAGGGTATTTCCAGCTTGGATGAAAACTAAGCTCATTTTTCATATAAATGCCTCAATTTCCAAACAGCTGCCTCAAGAACAGATTTAAATTTCCATTTTTTCTGGTCTTCCATCACTCTGGGTTCAAATCAACATCACAAATTCAAAAATTTTGGGAAGGATGAAAAAGGTACTGAGATTTTAAATGCTTATTCTCTGGACTTCTGGATTGCTGGCACATATTTTTCTCTCTTTTGCTTTACTTCTTATTGTGTTCCATGTTTCACATTGCTTCCTTTTCTACATAAATGCCATTTTCATTAAAAGATTCATGGGCTGAAAATAGCCGGAGCAGGTGAGCAGCCCAGCAGGCAGGGCAGTCAGCTGCGGGAAGCGCTCTGTTTCTGCATACAAATCACAGTTAAACAGAGGACAGGCACAACTGCTCTCCCACGAGGAAGGAGAACTGCCCACAGCCATTCCGAGCATGGCTGCTTCCAGCCCTGGGCTCTGGGCTTCCCTCCACTCGTGCCCTCTGAATCCTGCAGCACTTTCTGCACTCATTAATATTAGTGTGCACAGACTGCCCCCCTCACACACACTCCAACACATAATTCCTTACAGGATGATGGTAGGGCCCCTCCTAAGAGATGGATGACATTAGTTCAATCTTCTATGACTGAAGTAACTGCATTGTAAAATAACGATCTAACCACTAAATTACTGTAGAAAAAGAGGGGCAGCATCTTCCCTTCCCACTGCTGTACTGAAAGAAAAAAGGAGATAGCCCCTTTCAGCTGTCTGAAGGAAAGGAGGTGCCTGTTCTCTGAAAAGGGCTTCAAGCTGGGGTCCCAAGAGAAAAGAAGGCAGAAGTGTCAGGTTAGCTGCTGCTTTCTGATAATTGGTCTAGCCAATTGGATGCTGAAGGGCACTGATTCAAAAGCTCCCTGTTAAGACAGGGATCTTTCTAACTGTCTGTTGAATACAGCTTCTTTAATGGTCTGAAGCACCCACTGCTGCACTCACAGACACAGAAACATTGAGCTTGGATGGGACTTTTGGAGGTCATCTGGTCCAACCCCCTGCTCAAGCAGGACCACCTGGATCCAGATATCCACAATTGTGTCCAGATGGAGGAAGGATCACTTTCCTCTACCTGCTGGCTATACTTTTGTCTCAGGTAGCCCAGGATAACATTAGCCTCTTTGCCACAAGGGCACATTGCTGGCTCATGGTCAACTTGTCATCCACCGGGATGCCCAAGTCCTGTTCTGCTAAGTCACTATCCATCTAGATGGCCCCCAGCATGTACTGGCACTAAGGTTGTTCCTCCCTAGCTGCAGGACTTTGTTTCACTGATCACCCTTTGTGGGTTTGGCCATTCAGTCATTTTTCTATCCATCTTTTTGCTGCTTATCCAGCCCCTACTTCAACAGCTTGTCCATGAAGATCTAATGGGAGACAGTGTCACAGGCCTTGCTGCAGTCCAGGCAGACATTGTGCACTACTCTAGCCCTCGTCTATCTGGACAGTCATGTCATCATAGCAATATATCAAGTTGGTCACCCCTTGGTGAAGACATGAAAAGCACTCCCGAAAGCTTTCTTGTCCTTAATGTGCCTTGAAATGGTTTGCAGAATTAGCTGCTCCATCACCTTCACAGGGCTAAAGGTGATTGTAGTTTCCTGGTTTCTCCTTCTGGCTCATTGAAGACAGGAGTAGCATTTGCTTTCTCTCCATCTTTAGGCACTTCTCCCAGTGACCATGATCAAGCAAAGATTATTGAGACTGTGCTTGCAATGACATATGCCAGCTCAGTCAGCACTTGTGGCTGCATCCCATCAGGGACCACACACTTAGGCATGTTCAATTTGCTCCTGATCTAAACCTTTTCCACCAAGGGTACATCTCATTCTAGTCCTTTCCCCTGGTCTTTGGGACCTGGGATTCCTGAAAGTCAGTCTTGCTAGTAAAACCTCAGGAAAAATAGCATGCAGTACTTCAGCCTTTTGCATATACCAATCTACTATATTTTACAAAATCTTTTTCTGGGGAAAAGGAGTGATTGCAGGGCCACTCAAGCACAGCTTATTTGCATTTATGAATATTCTGATCACATGACACAATAGCGGCATGAGAAGGAGAAAACACTTTTGACACATTAGACAACTCTGAATTTAACACTGATAGGCAAAATACCAAAAAACTATGTAACACTTAAAATGGGCTTGTACAAACAGGATAATGAATTATGAGGATTTGCTATAGGAGTTCTGCTGCTGTAACAAGATAGGTGAACATGTGCCTTCTAACTGCCAACATTTGCTCCTAATAACATGAAATCTCAGCTTATGAGTGTGTTTTGGTCCTTTCTGAACGAAGATCTGGTTTCACCTATTATTTTTACCACACTGTACAATTCTTGACTGTAGCCATGTTCAGCATATTCCTAAACAGAGAAGGCAGGGCATACATCAGATACTTGTTGTAGTTAGAGATCAGCACTTTGAATAACTTCTGTTCATTTGAATGTATACTTCCATCTGGTTCATAAACTTCTGACAGCCTAAGCAATTACTATTGTTAATATGCTTAAATAACCACTATGGCACCATTATTACTTTTTTCCTTGGAAAAAAGACAGAATGATGTGCTCTCTGAACAGAAGTAGTTAAAACATACCATTAGGCTTAAAACTGGAAGGGAAAAAATCAGGACAAAAAAACATGGATAACTGAAATGTAAATAATATAATTTTCCTTTTCTTACCAATCTTGCTTGCTCCTCAGCATATTATTTTTTTGTGATCTCTGAAATACTTTTCTTCCTGATTCTGACAGTTCTATTGTCTCCAAAAGCACAGCATTACCTGCACTAACTATAACCATCCTTGATTATTCAGAATATGCAGAATTGAAAAAAAACTGATTATCAAAGGTTTTTTCATCAGCTGAAGTTCCCAGACCAGATGCAAAGTTCCAGCACAACGACAGCAGAAGAAGTGGATAAACATCTTCGCGAGCAGTTTTCTATCCAAGACTGAAATACTGGGGGCATTAGGGTCAGCAAACTTCTCCCTACCCTCCCATGGCTGCAGTGAACACCTTGTGGTGTGTACTCACAAAGAAAAAGATGGATAATGAACCTCTCAGTGAATTTGCAAGGCCTTTCGGAAAGAAATCTAAGGGCTAATGTTTATCCCTTAAACTCAGAGTGAGTACTAATGGAGACTAACTCAAACCTAGAGATTCAATGTGAAATGCAATATAAGAAGAGAAGAATGTGTTGAACGAAGATAAACAGTACCTTTGCACTACTTCGTATAAATCTGTCTGTATCTAATATTTAATAGCTCACCATGAACTATAAACCACTCAACCAAAAAATCAGTCTTTTGTACAGTATTTGCAATGCCTTTCTGAAGTCCAATTATGAAAGCATTTCACCTTCCCAATTAATCTAGATTGTTACTTTCTTAAAAGTTGAGACACTTTATGCATGGCTTCCCTTTTGTAAAACCATGCTGAATATCTAAGCAGTAAGACACAATGGATTATGCAGTGATATAAATAATGCAGATCTTGAGTGTTAATTGAAGCACAAGGCAACACAAAGTCATGGCCTGAACTTTCTATTGCTATTTGCCAAAGTAATTCTAATTGACCTTAGTGGGACTGGGCATGTGAGTTCAACATACTCCTGTATGTAAACACTAGGAGGTTAGGATAGGTCCTTATCATCCCAACATGTCTAAACCAGCTTATTTTTTTAGAAATGCTGGTGTTTTCAGCATGACTGTTGAGGAAAACTAATTAAAATATTTCAGGGAAACCTAAAATCTTTCTTAAATAATATTTTTATACTAAGATTATTGGAATATTGAACAAAAGTCACACCATTGCAATTTTGTTTTATAGTTGCTAACACACATTAAATTTTTCTCTATTTTTTCCCCTTTTCCCTATAGATATTTAAACCTCAGTCTTTGACTGAGATATGGACGAATGGTTCTTTCTTCAACATTCCCCCTTCCTTGTGTGACTCTATTATGGAAAAACAAAACTGGAAGAATTAAGTATCTCCCAGTTGTGCTTTCCAACAGAAAATTAAAGTATTGCAAACAGATTACTAGGCCACAAGAGGCACATTGTGGGATATATGATGACAGCAGGGCTTTGAAATTCAAATGTAGCTCTTTTTCTTTGAAATCCTGCCATGGGTGTAGCTCTCTCAGCACTGCCCTGAAGCTGAAACAGCTGCTTTAGTTTCCTTTTACAGTGATTTCCTAATCATTCAGTTGGAAGATGAGGGGCTCAATTCTATAATTTAGTAACAAGTGAACAAAAAGGCACACTGTACTTAGTAATTTCCAGAACAGCTTTTGATAACTCAGAAAAATAAAAAATCACAAGAATCTTAAGAACTGCACTTTCTGTGATCATGATGCTTCTCATAGATGCCCTGACAGATGCAGTGTACTAGAGCATCCAATCAACTTGCACTTAAATATTTAATGTGGATAAGACTTCAGCTTTCCTCAGCAGTGAGAGTGACCTTTAATATAAGGCTGAGCTACCCACTTATTTATTTCCTGTGTTCTTTCTTTTTTCTTTCCCCTACTGAGTTTAAGTGGGTAATTTAATTAAAGTCTTTTAATTTTTACTGAATACCCTCAACAAGACTTTGTGTACTGACTCCTCAAGGCCAGTTCAATATATGCTGCCTTGTGTTTAGGAAATTTTGTGGCACCCTGCAGCTGGCTCCAAAAACTCTGCTTGTAAAGAAGGCAGAACACATCATTGCTTTTCTGGAAAATGTACTTGGTCATTTGAACAGTTTGTTCGACAACTTTGACAAGGAAGAAGAGCAAGGCAAAGATGAAAAGGATTTTACTAGTCAGGAGGCCTGAAATAATAGTTAAACTACAACAACTGCAGGATAAAAAAATATCCTCCAATCAAATAAACAAAAAGTGAGTGGTAGTATACAGAAAACAACGAAGGAAGATGAGACCACCAAAAAGCTAGAACAGACAGTGAAGAACAGGTATCAAACTTTGACGATAACAAATGTATTATGATATTTTTATTTATAAATATATACTATAAAAAATTACACTGATATTTTCCTGTTTTCCTGTCTTACTATTGTTTGACGAGGTGATTAATGTCAGTCTACATAACTTACTTACAATGGAAACTTCTCATTCTAAATTTCAGGTTGTAGATCTCACCTTCCATTTAATTAGGATTACTGAAACAAGTTATTTGCCAAATATTTCTATTTGTTTCAATACATAGCCTTATTTTTTATTTTGCTGCCCAGAGTTGCATTTTCCCCCCTACAAATAAGTGTATTCTCTTTTGTATACCAAATACTTCAAATATCTCTAATGAGGGTTCTTGTTTACTTCTTGCTGTAACCTAGATTCTGGCTGTAGACAATCCTTCTCCAATGTCCCAGACTGGGTGAATTAAATTTTGTCAACAGACCTAAACAACTCCTAAACTTCTGAAAGTAACAAAAGAGACACTATCATACTTTAAACAGACCAGTATTTTAGAGTACATTATCTCTTACAAGCCAACAGGTGAGACTGTCTGGCTTTTTATTATTGTTGTTTGGAGAAAGGGGAAGGATAAAGGTAGAAGAACCAAGTGTGACTTTACAGCATAAGATATACTCAGTGCAAACCCAGCTGACAACACACAGCAGTGTCCTTCAGCAAGTTCTTTCCAAGGCAAGCTGTACAATATATATAGCAGCTACCTTGTGTCTGTCATACAGCATTGCCAGTTCTAACACTGCAGCGATTAAGTGGCTCAATCACCAGTTCAGGGCACTTTTCTTACCCATGCACACAGAAACAGCTGCTCCACTGCCTTAGGGGTTCCTTTTCTTTGACACCTACTTGGCACAAACTATTTATAAGGTAGCTGCTGACACATTCAGATGCTTTTGCTGCTGCAGCTTCTTGGAGCTGAAGCCTGGAAGGCTCACACACACTAAGCTGCAAATCCTGCAGGGTACTGCAAATCCTAATCCACAAAAAAGTGCTCTGTATAACCACACATGTGAGGACTGCACTTTTTATGTTACATTTAAGATTCCTAGGCAACATTAGAGTTGCAGTGGGGCAGCAGAGACCTAGCAGACATGATTGCCACAGAAAGACAGGGATAACAATGACATCCCAGCAATGGCCATGTGAAAGGGACCATCCAATATCCACAAAGATACTACCAGCATAATGTCAGACAGAAGAACTAGGAGCACGATCACACATTTTAGTTCTGTCAAACATGTTTGAGGCACATTCTGTTGTTCAGCTTTTATGAATCACAGTATTTTATCACATCTTTTATGATTTAGCATTACCTGCCAGGCAAAAACTACACAAATACAGGCTCTTCACATCTGCTTGACAAAAACCACCCTGAGACTCCTCATATTTTCTTACTCATGCTTCTGTAAGGTAATTAAGAATCTTACTTGCTATGGGAACACCATTTGCCAACCAGCTTATACTAGGCTTTGGGTTGCCATTAGCTCTGCAGATCAATGTTCCATCTTCTCCAGGAGACAAAACCAAGTTTCTGGGTGCTGTTATCCAGTATGGAGCAGCTGGATTTAAGAAAAGAAAGACAGCAATTATTTTCCAAAATTGTGTACCCATATTTTCCACAGGCATGGTAATCAGAAGATAATTCCAACAAGTTATGTGTAGGTACAGACTTACATCTATACTGTTTCTTTATATCTACATATATGTGTGTATATATATATATATATGTTTGTGTGTGTGTGCATTTGTGTGCATGTGTGTGTGTGTGTGTGTGTGTGTGTGTGTGATACCCAATTAAGTGATAGATCATACATTGACTGAACTGCCCCCAGTCACCCACTGCATTAAAATTCTGAGATAAACAACAAGAGGATCTTTGTTTTATTTAGGGTTGCCTGCTTTGAATCTAATTTGCCTTTCCTAAAGCAAGCAAAATTTATCTGTGTATGGCATTTGCAGACACTACAGTGGTCTTCTGATTAATTTCAGAGATATCCACACTCTTAGTAGTTAGGCTGTTAAGAATGAATTTAGGCTTTATTACAAAAATAAGATTTCATGTCAAGGGTGAAATTTTAAAATTACAAAATCCTTGGTCTCACTCAATTCAATGGCTGATTGCAGTGGGGCCAGATGTTTACCTGAGACAGATGAAAACAGAGATCAAAATGGGTGAAACACTGGCCTAACTAGAAGATATTCACCTATTTCTCCATCCTTTTTTGCAATAAATAAGCACAAACAGCATATATTATCACATCTTGCAATTAATTTTCAGATTTTGAATTGATGGACAGATGCAAACAGAAAATTAAACTTCTGATCTTAGAAAGGAAGTTAAATGCGATCATAAAAAGATGCTGATCTACAACAAAACAAGTGACTGTTTAGCATGCAAAGTAAGCAATACAGCTGATTATTTCAATGACTAATTAACTGTCATTACAGTTTGTTGTAGCATGGTATTCACAGCATACTTACAGTTCCTATTTAGACAAATATGATGTAAATGTTTTTAGAACTATAAGGCATCATCTTGGATAAAAAACATGAAGAAGATAGGAACCCAGAAATATCAGTAAAACAGAAAAAGGAAGAAAAACATGAGACTGTAAGACAATAGTAAAATAGAGGAAAGAAATAATCTGGGCTATATGAATGAAGAAAAATTGAGAAAATGAGGATGAGATGATGAAAGATAAGGAAGATAGAGAAGCAAGAGAAATAAGCAGTCTAATGACAACTAATCAAAGGATCTGAAATAAAAGTAGTACTTGTGCAAACTAAGGCATTATCTTACTATTGTTACAGTAAAATACTAGTTTAGCCTGATGCTTTACAAAGTAACATCAAAAGATTAAAAAGATATTATAGATAGTAAAGCCCTTCCAGTCTTACAATTCAGACAGTTGAATATTTCCTCAGGGTGATTTTTTAACTATTATTATTCATCCTTTTAGCTATACTTCATCCTAGAAAGCCTGCTTCGATACTGCATTCTGGACCCTTGACAACATTACATTAAAGATAATTTTAGTATTACCTTTCACAGTTACTGAAATGACATGATGAACTGAACCTAATGTATTTCTTGCTATACATTTGTAATTCCCAGAGTCAGCTTCTGAAACATCTATAATCTTGAGAGTTTTCTTGAAGTTTTCAAAAAATGTTCTGTTAGCTGGCAGTTCCCCACCCTCTTTGATCCAGCGGATTACTGGTGTGGGTCTGGAGAAGTAAAAACACAGATCAGTTTTAAGGACTGAAGAAAAGGAATATAAGAGTTCAATACATTGATTTCCTTAATATATGTTTTATAAATAATTATTTCAAGAGCCTCTACCCAGATTCTGGACCACATCCAACAAATATGAAAAATATGCCAGCATTTGTTTCTAGGAAATTACAAGTCTCACTAACATTGTCAATGGCCATCTGTTCATAGGATTAATAATTACAGAATACATTTGTCTGCTGATTAACCTAAAAAACCTGATGGTTAATACATGAAGACAAGCTTATACTTTTGAACTGATGCTCATGGTGCTTTTAAAGGTAACTTTTATAAAATGACAAGTTATAATTGTCCTTTATGTGAGCAATATCCTAATGCTTCATAAACATCATAAGGTTCACAAAGGAGCTGTAAGGCAACAAACATTTCTTGTGAGAAATCAAGAAAAAATGTCAGTGCTGAGCCAAGTATAGCTACTTGTCACTGCACTGAGTCTAAATCTTGGCTATGCCCCATGTTGTCCACTGAATTTGAAAGTCATTCAAACATGTGGAGATATACTTTAAAAATTACAAGAAATTGCAATTTGTTGCTTACTGAATAGAATGTCCTCTCTCAAATGGTAATGGCTCTAAGCAAATGTTCCTTTAGCAGTCTAATATCACATATTTCACAGCACAGACACCTACAAAGATGACTTTTAATTATGGTGTCAGTGATTAGGAACAGTTGTTTCAAATAAAATCTATATCTGGCCCTTTGTAGACAAGTATTCCCTCACTGATTATTTGTTTTTTTAATTACATGACAGGTAAAACCACAATGCCATATAATATATTACAGTTAATTTTTTTCACAGGTTTTATCCAGCCGTTTTATTAGAATTTGGATCACCTAATACTCTTACTGCAGAGTTGTTGTGAGTTTGTGGGCCCAAGTTGGGCAACTCTGGGGGCTCCCCTGGTAGGGAGTAGTTCTGTGTTAGGAACGAGAGATGCATTGGACTTTTTTGGTTTTTAGTTTTTGTTTATTGTTATCTTATTAAAACTTTAGCATATTGTTTGTGCTTAGACTTTGCATGCGTGAAAACAGCACAAAAATGGTTAAGAGCTTTGTGTTGTAAGGTCTTTTTAAGTTTAATCAAAAGCTAAACTACTCAATTTAGAAGTGACACTTAAATTTTTTATTTTTTAACTCAATAACTGACTTTTAAAGACTTGCAATGTAGATTTTTCTACTCAATTACAAGATACTACTTAAACTCAAGAAGAAAGAGGAAGAAGAAGAGAGAAGAAAAGAACTTGAGATAACACCTTATATCTTCTATCTTGAACTCATCTATAACATACTAAAAATCTTAAAACTTAAATTTCTCACCCATGTAACATACTACACTATTCTTTACAATCTCTACAATTTATTTCACACTTTTGTGGCTTCTAGTTTACTTTGAGGCTTTGGAAGTTTTCTCTATGAATTAGGGTCAAAGTCAGTGTTTTCTTGGGAGTTAGAGCACCCCAGGGCAGACAGGGAGATATTCCCCTTGCCCTGGGTTCCCAAAGGTTGTCAAAAGGCATATAACTGTATTGCAGATGAAGATTACCTGGGCTGGTGCTACTTCCACTCCCAGGGGTGGTTTTGCTAGTGCTGCTGGGGCAGACACCTGAGGAGGCCACAGCTGAGACAGAAATACTGCACTGATGCTCAGATCAAGCTGTGCCTAAGCATGCCCTTTGGAGCTCAAGCAAGTGAACACAGGTGCATGGTGCTGTGGTGCATGATTTGCAATTATTGGCATTTCTCATGGCTAGCTGAGAACACTGCATCACATGCCTTTGTGCACCATAAACATATTTACAGCTCTTGAAAAGGTTTTCTGCTTCTATTCCATAACCAATCTATTCTCAGATTTCTTCCTGAGAATGAAACTGATTTAAAAATCAACCTAATTCATTAAGTTAAATTTGCTCTTAGTAATTTTCTTTTTGCACAATAACCAGCAGAAGCAAACTTCTATTGCATTGAAGAAACAAGTACCAATTGAGCTCAATTACAATAAGAAATTAGATATAAGGACCTGAAGATTTGTTCTAACAATTCCCACCTAGCAGATCTACTAAGTAATTATTAACACATATAAGCTGTTTTCTTGGATTAGAACAGCAAATTCTTATCTATTTTTATATAATTTGAGAATCTAATGACTGCAAACTTAGGAAAACAACATAGGCTTTATTACTGACTGCAAATCTGTGGTTATGTGTTTGAGTTTAGTCTATAGCATTTCTTCCCTGTTTCCTTTAAAAACAATGCTATAAGCCATATCATGAAATAAGGTCTGGGGATATGAGAAGGCAGAGGCCACACATTTTCATAGCTGGTTTCAAAGTCTAGTGATGCCAAGTAAATGGTGGAGTTCCTTAAAAAAGCTCTTTCCATTTTACACTTCTGCTTCTTTGAAACACATAAGCTTATACAGCAGTCATGTTTTTAAGCATCTCTGAAATGTTTCCCTCTGTTTCTGTATTTATATTTAGAAAAAAAAATATCTCAAAAGTAACTCACAATCCTGCTGCAATGCACTCCAACAGAAGCACATTTCCTCTGAGTTCCACTTTGGTACTTGTGCTACCTGTTGGTGTTAGAAGAACTGGCTGCCTTTCTGTAACTGGCTTTGCTGGAACAAAAAGTAGTAAAACAATTAATTTCTAAATTTTATTCTAATGTCAATCAAGTGCATACATCCATTCTCACATTTTGAACAGAAATTTTGCTCCACATTGGCAATTTGATTAAAAGTCATTGTGCAGCACAACTACAAAGCTGAACACATTAGTTTTTTGACAGACATATCTGTTAAATGCCACAATTTTGAACACATAGAAGAGAAATGTTATTATTAAAAGACAGGAACAATTGATACAACACTTTTACATAGGTAATTGTGCAGTCTTAATCCTAAATAGCTGCTGTTTCATTCAACAGAACTCTAATGGGGAGTAAGGCCACTGGTGTGGGGCACAGTGCAAGAGAGTGCTACTGAAAAGTCCTGGGCTTCCATCAAAGTAAAAATAAAGCAAAGTTATTTTTAATCAGAACTATAAACCAATGGAGTGAAAGGTACTGTCTGCTTTGGAATATGTTTTAATATTTTCTAGACAATGTGAAGCATTGTTTCAGAAATTAATCCTGGTATTTTCCTCTTACTATATATTTAATTTAAACTGCTCCCCAGTCTTTCAATATAGAACCTTGATTAGCCCATAAGCAATAACCACAGTAAACACGCAGCTATAAATATAATACTAATTTCTGACATACTTTGTTGGCTTTTGAAGAATATGGTATTTCCTATGGCTTCATGGAATTCAGTTTTCTGTAATTATAGTGTTTTCTGTGAATACTCTAATGTTCTCTTGTAGCAATATTAATATATAGAATTAAATGGCTCTGAAGTGCTGTAAGAGTCTGAATCATTACAGTAAATAATTTTGTTTTTAAAAAATGGGATTAGAAACATAATAAACTCGAAGTTTGTTAAGGTACATATTTACTGATACATTATCATAAATGCAACATTTCGGTTTAATGCACTATGTACTGTGAATTCCTTAATAACCCATACACAATCAACTCAAAGTTGTGGGAGGGCAGAGAAGTCCAGAGTCAAGAATATAGCTGACAGTCACAGCAACAACTCATCTACCCAGTGCTGGCACTGCCAAGGGCTGCAGACTCACTTGGCCAGACTGTGAGTGCTCAGAACAATTACCTATGGTGGTTCTAAGCCGGGAGCCAACCCAAAAGTGTTTTCCACCCTAATTATAGCTAATACATTGTTTTGTATTCAGGTACTTATTTCTTGTTTGCCCCTTCTAATTAACATGTAATTCTTATGTGGAGAAGTAAAATATTCTGTGCCCATGTTTTATTTTAGATTAATAAAAGTTATGGTTTCATATGTGCAGAGCCCCATTTCACATGAAAAAGACAAAAAACTGGAATAAATATCAAGTGCTTTCTATGTCACCCAACATCAAGTGAAGAGTCTAGAATCAGGGGTGCTCCAAAGTCAACCTTGCTAAACACATATACATCTGTTCAGGAGGATTTAATTCAGAACACAGAAAAAGACCATTCAACATAGATTAATGGAAAGATCAGCTTAAACACCAAACAAATAGTACTTATTCTACCACTATGAATTTACTGGCAGATTCAGTAAGTTATTAAATGTGAAGTGAATCTGTTAGGTTCTTAATTGTTGTTATTTATTATGCAGCACATGACATTGAATAGTCCTAGTGATAATGAACTTAATCAAACTACTAGGCAAATTAGAGGAAAAATATTTAAAAATCAACACAATATAGAAGTAGTTTTTAAACTCTGCACCAGTGTGAAAACACTCTTTTTTTAGAAGTGTTTATATTTTCTATGAGCCGCATGTCACAAGAATATTGAAAAATTAAATATTTGTAAGCATCACACTGTGCAGTCCCTTTGCAAAGTATGTATTATCACCAGCACTAATTGATACCTTTATTAGAAACTGAAAAAGGAGCAAAAGATTAAGTAGCCATGGAGGTGAAGTTAGTTAACTAAATGCTACTGTAAAACAAGGAGCATCAGTGGGGACCAGTATAACTCACCACCATAAATATCAGTGTCACTCAAATTAGCAGCTATAGTGTCATTCAATGAATCCACTGAAATAAACAGAATATCATGAAGAAAGCATAAAAGAGGGATAAATAAAAGTTCTGGGAATCAAAAGGTGATGACATGGCCACAGTGAGTTAATCAAGTGATTGATTAATTTGTTTCAATAGTTACAATAATCATAATAACTTCATATTCTTGCACTGGAAAAACATTAGAAAACTGTTATTTTTTACACTGTATATACCAAATCTTAAACATTTTTTCAAAACACAAAGCCTTATAAAGTGAAAAATGACAGCTTTTAAAATCAATTATATATCAAGAAAACTGGAGATTACGTTTCAAGTTTATACAGTAATGTAATTTCTTATTCAAAATTGAAATTACAAAATTCCCTAGCATAACACAACTTTAGCATGTAACTTGAGAACTCCGGATAAATACTGTGCAAGTATGTAATTTGGTGATGCAATACCTACTTGAAAAGACTTTCACAGATATGGGCTGTTTCTGCTGTATAGTTTGCGTGTGATTAAATCTTGCGTAGCAGATATAGTCCTCCCGGGTGTCTTCTGGTTGTACATTAGAAAAATAAAGATCACCATTGAGACCTTGGGAAACTCTTTCACTTTGAGGCAGCCTTTGGAAAGCTAAGGGAAAGCAAGAACACATTTATGTTAAATATAATTGACACACTCTATTATGATCTGCAGACTCCACATTCATTCAATAACCCTTGTTTGTGCCTTGGTACATATACAGATGTTTCTAAGCTTCCTGATGAGATCCCTTGTCTACACATTCTTCCCCAGTGGGTTAATCTATGACTTACATTAAGATCTCCAGCTGCTTTTAGCTTCATGCTTTTGGGCTGTATGTCTGCTTGTTTCCTCAGTTCTACAGAAATGGAAATTCACTGAATTTTAACTTAGAAGGAAACTTCATCATCTGTGGTTTTGGTAACCACTGATCTACTATGTGGAAAAACTGCAAAAAGTCAACTGCATAAAAACCAAACTCACCATTATCCATCCAAAATATGATAGGTGGTGGTAAGCCAACAGGAGGTCTGCAGTGCAGTACTAGGGAATCACCTTCACGAACATGATTTGGTTCTAGTTTTTCTTTCGTCCACAAAGGCGATCCTATAGAAAGTAATTTTCACACACACACAAAGTTTGGATTGGAAAAACTTAAAAATTTAAAGGGAAAATGCACAAAGTATTCCAGAGAAATCAAAGAACTACATCCATCAGAATGTTAAATCCTTTTATGTTTACTAGATTTTCGTTTTTGTTCTTTTTTATGTTTTCTTGGAAGAAAAGTACATCAATGCTTTATCGAAGGTATAATCAACTTATTCAAATTATTTTGTCTACTCACTGAAGGTTTGATAACAGTATCTTGCAAATTTTTAACTATACTGAAAAAAAGGTGATGTGCTAAAATAGAAAAAGGGGCGGACATTCCTGAAGCAGTATTAAAGCATTCTTTAATTAAGATGCGAGAACAGTACATATTAAGCTGAGAAGCTTGAAAACTAAACTGAGATAAAGCTCATAAAAAGCTGTAAAACAATCTACCATTAATCAAAAACATTTAGCTTCTTGTTGTTTCCAATCTGTTATGTTTTAAAACTATTGCAAAAAGTATGGAGCACAGACTTCAAAAACAGAATAAAATTGCAGTCATCAATTAAGCCATCAAGTCAACAAATTATCCTTAAAGTCTTATAGATTTTATTCTAGCAGTAGTGTTATACATACAATTCAGTTTTAAGCATTATGAGGTTATCCAGGTGTATCAAGAAAAAAATGAAATTACAATTAAATTCAAAAAATTAAAAAAAATTAAAATTTAATTTTTGCAAAAATGTCCTTGAGAGAACCTGTAATACAGCACTATACTTGAGTATTAGAAAATAGGCAAGTATGACTAGTAGCATGGTCATTTGGATGACTGAAGTTTTAGGACAAGAAAACAAAAAGGCAAAATGTTCGTAAGCAAATAAGAAAACCAAAGTGTTTCCCACTTTAGGAACATTAAGAGCTTTACTTACTAGAAGGCCTTATAACGATATTGTTGGAAATGGCTGCTCCTCGTTCATTCCTTGCTGTACACTGGTAAACTCCCTCATATGCTTCTGCTTTCCCACCATTCATAATATTTACGACGAGAGTCCCTGAATTTGGTTTCATTGTTACCTGTGCATCTTTATCTATATCAAAATGAGTTCCATTGCGTGTCCAGGAGAAGCTAAAACAACAAAAACAAAATCAAAAGTTTTTTCTTAGCTACTTTTTGTAGATTGTATGAAGAAAAAACTAATTAACAAAAATATATATTATATTTTCATTAGCAGATAAGTAAGACTTGTTCCCAAACTAAATTAACTAATAAAGCAATACAGAACTCTTACTATAAGAAATCTGACAATATTTTAAGATAAAAGTTTTGGCTGAACATATTAACAGGAGTTATTTCAAAGTTTATTATTTAAAAAAAAAAAATCCATTAAAAACTTCAGCGGTTAATCATACATGGAAAAGAAATTATTTCCTTTCTATTAAAAATGATGGAGTAACATCTGCAAGAACTGATATTGCTAAAGCTGCATTAGCATTTCCATTATAAAACCTATTCTTGAAAGGGTTTATAAACCTGTCTTTAAAAACTTGCTCAGGGCTGAAATGTGCCATCTCAGGCCCCAGCAGGAGACCATTTTTTAAAATTGGTTTGGCGATTCTGAAGTCATGCAAGTAAATTAAAGACTGTGGTGAGTTTGAGCTTTTTTCACTATTCTAATGTAAATAAAATTCTCTAATAGAAATTATATCATCTGATAAACTTTATTTGACCTAGCAATTTTATACTGATACTACTCAAAATAAGAGGTGTTTTGAAAAACAATCCTTAAAAATGAAGACTGATTGAACTCATAATACATTGTAAAGAAGCAGAGATTCACAGTCTTCAACTTAGACTAATAAAAACCACTTTCTTACTTATGCTCTGTTTATGGTCAGAAGTATAGTCACAGAGAGCTTGACCAACACCTATGAAATATTGAGCACTCACAGCTTCAAACGCTGTCAATGGCAGTTCTTGTAATTTTTCCATTTCAGCTTCACAATCTTAAGCACAAACACTCTTTCCGCTGGTTAGAATGCTTCCTAAAGTATAAATGTAAATAGTACTGGAAAAGGTCAGATTCTAACTGACTCAAATTGTGTACTGACCTTCTGCAGCAGGACTGGACATGACATTTGCACCTTATGTTAAGGGAGAGAAGAACTGGACCTGTAGCAGTGCTGCACCACAATGCAGTGTTCCTGGGAGGACTACCATGCATAGTGAACTAACAGAGAACCTCTTTCTTGAAACTTTGCAGGTGAAGTTTCAGAATGTGGGGTTTCTGTTGCCAATATTAAGGATGCAAGAAAGTGTTATGTAGATTGAATGAGAGGTGGAAAAAGTGGTACAAACCCCTGAATTTGAGATGAGTGATTTGAGATGAGTCAGAGTATTTGCTGCTATAGCTATAGGTAGCAGCACATCCACAAACCTTTATGCTAGGTGCTCTCACCAATAAGAAGCTATCATACTGATATCACATGATTCACACTGTGGGCTGAGAAAGTCCACCTTTGACTTCAGAGCTCTGGAGCAGTTCAAGTTCCAATATGCATTTGCAGGTTATCAAGAGTAAAGGACCAACCAGACTAACTATTGATACAAATTAAATAAATGTCGTATCTTTAAAAATAAGCAAGACTAGGTACAAGCTTAGAAAACTCGTTAGAAAATTCTGTACTTAAAACCTGTCATTCCTGTAGCACAGAAACAAAGCCATGTTTGATGGGGAAGGTGAGGATGTACACAGAGAGCCTTGGCACATGGTTCGGGTATGTCAGTCTCACAGGCAGCACTCTTTTTCTCTCAGGTAATTCCAACCAAAAGTGTTCAAGAGAAACATCAGCAGAAGCAATACAGGTGTCTCAAAGTAGATAATCATCTGATCCTCCAGGAAAACACCCAGATTCTTAAAAATGGTATTGGGCCAGTGAAATTAAAATGCTAGTAAACAAAGCAGCTCTGTGGCACTCCTGTCCTTAACGGAACACTAGAACGGCTGAGAGTATCCCAGATAATCTCCATCGTCTCCATTCTGCTGCCCAGCATGACAATGACCATGACACTGAGGCAACCAGCAGAAGTAATCCAGAAGGAATGCTGTTTTTTCAAAAGAAATGCATCTAACAAGTTCTGTCTGTGTCTGAATGAGCAGTTTGAGATGGATCTTGCTAGTAAGATGTAGCGTAACACTGCTAGAGTAGAGAGAAGCACATTTCTGTGTTCACAGTCTCTGCAATCAGCAGCAGTTACTAATAACCCCAGAGTGTATCATTGATGTTTCCAGTGCTATTGATGTTTCTCGTGCAGGTACTCAGTAACTTGAAATGAGTAACTGTCAAAGATTTCAAGATGCTGAAAGGTAATCTTAAAATGGACAATAAACAGGAATCTGATCTATTTCTGCCCAAACCAAAACTTAAGGATACTAAATACACAGAACTGCTGATCAATAAGACTGATACAGACTACATAACTTCTAACAAATTTTATTTCAAGATCAGCCTCATAAAATGGAATTATGTACAAAACATTACATTTGAATGTGTTGACATTATTCTGACTTTATTCAATGTCCATTCTTCTTAAAGACTATGCCTGAACCTGGTCCATTATCCAGCTCATAGTACAGCATGCCTCCTAGTGTGTTCCATGGGCATTTACCTATCTGCTCTTGCAATAATCAAGCATTATTTTACTGTTAGAGTTTTGAGAAGAAAACAAATGCTACAATTTCTTGATGACTGTAAAATCATTTAAATGTCAAGTGTGATAAGAGGCAAAACTGTGATACTATCTGGTAGCTGTGTAATTTACAGAAGTATGGATGTGCGATCACATTCATACATACAATCTTGATCTTGTTTATTTACAAAAATTACAGTATGTTCTCCTAGTTCTTCTATACTCTTAGGCCAATAAAAGCAAAAAAAAAATGCTACTAACCTAGGAGGTGGCTTTCCTTTGGCTTCACACTGTATTACAATATTCTCTCGAGGGTCAACAATGTAATCTTTTGGAGATTGCTGAGTTATCGTAGGAGGTTGTGACACTTCATTATGAAATACAACAAAGAGAGATGATTTCAACAATATTTTCAAAGTATCACCAAGACACTTTTGTAAGCAGAGAAAGAAGAATTGCAGTTAGTAACCAAATCATTGACAGAAGAGTGTGTTTAAAGTATCCTTTGTATCAGGAGGCTGAAACTCTCTACCCTTGTAAATTAGTATAGCTATACTAACTTCCAACTGAGCTCTCCTGATTTACAGTGGATTAAGATCTTGGCTAAAAAGTTTAATGAAAATATAATTTCTATACCTCAGATTTCAACAGATTTTCACAAAACGAAAGGACACTCAAATTCTAAGTCCAACAAATCTAAAATCAAGAGTTGCAAGACATAAAGCTCCACAAAATGTTTTTTTTTATACAGATGGAAAAATATACATTGCTTTATGCTTCTAAACATTTTGTATATTTTCAAATTCTCTGTGGGTGAAATCTTTCCACACATTTCTTTTGCTTAACATACTGCATTAATCTACAAAGCATGCTTATAAGAACTACTTTTCAGGAGTAAAATGTATGTTATAAGCAAAAGATACTGTTAGAAATTACAAAAATAGTATCTAGTTTCTAAATAAAGTAAACATGTAGGAAAAGTTAAGCACTGATTCCCCTTAAGAAACCCATTAAAAATATAATCTTGTGAACTGTCCCAGGAGAATCAACAATTTAACATTTGTGATTTTTTCAAGTACTATAAAACAAGTAGCACAGAACAAAATTGATTGATCTGACAAAGCAGTTGGTGTCTACCTATGATAAGTAATTTATAACCTATTACCATTATTATGTCCATTTTTGCATTAAAAAACGCTGTTTGTGACATTAAGATAGTGACAAAGGTGTCTTCCTCAACATTATGCATATATTTATAGTTTAGTGTCACCTAAATAAAGCTGTTTAATAACATGCCCATGAACATCCCTGTCTCAGTGCTGTAAATCCCCTGTCCAGCAATAAACTTTGCTTGTGCTTTGGGGTAATTTCTAGCCACTGGAACAAAATATTTCAATTATTAGAGTTAGCTGTGTTCTCATGCATCACTCTAGACAGTTAAAATTCTACAACTGGGATTTTTATTTAAATCTTCCTTAAGGATACCGTTGCATATTAAGTACTCCTTTGCACAGACAGAGGTACCTGTCTGTATAACCCCACCTGGAAGAAACAGTGAGGAAAAGAAATCAGATCATGGAATCATAACAAAACACAGCAGCCAAGCAGAACAGAACAAGCCATGGAGAACTGGGTTCTGCTCCTCACTGCACAGGGGAGAATCCTTGAAAGAAGAAGGCAACATTTTTACATGAAGCCTTCGTGTGTATTTCCTTAGGAGTACTTGAAGGCCGTCCTTTTCCCTCTCAGAGGCATTTCTCAGGTTCAGAGAATGTCAAATGCTTCCTCGGGAAAAGCAAATATACTCTGAAAAAGGATATGACACAAACACTGCCCAACCTATAGGATATTCCATCTGATGCACATCAAAGACCTGAAATCTCCACTCCTGTGTTATGGACTGCACTTAAAACTGATTAAATTAACCATAAAACTAAAGCTAAGCTAGAACCCATAAAATATGAATTCTACTTAAAGAGCTAAATCCACTGTGGATATAAAAATATGTCCACATAAGATATGCAAATTGGTACAAATATATTCCAATAAATTTTTTATCAAATATATTTACTCCTGAAAGTAGTAACAAAACACTTCACATGCTGATATTGAGTGAAGATTTTAATGTCCAAATAGCACACCATCAAAAACCACACCATTAATTTATGCAGAATATCATAATGTTATTTTATGTACAGGAGTATTTTCTGAACACTGCATGCACAAAACATCTAGATACAGCAAACCAAATTATCAACAAGATGTCAGAATCACACATTTTTTGACTGCAAATTAAATTTGCAACACAATCTGTATTAATTTTCAGCAGCACACAGCCTATTTTTAGTGAAGAGTAACTTACATTCTTCTAGAAGTTTTGCTTTTATTCCCACATCAGAATCAGCAGTTGAATGGACAAATGGAGATTAAAGAGAAACATTTGTTAGTGAAGAGAAAATTAGCAATTTTGAGAGGGAAGGTAAGTATCTCTGACAAGTATATTGGTCACCATTAAAAAGAAAACTTTTAAAACATTCAGCACTGCAATCCATGCAGCAATGCCTGGATTTCCAACCACAATTTCCATTGTGTCAGATATTACTACATTTATCTTAAAGCTCTTGGCATGAGAAACTTTCCTGAAGTGTTGACTTTTTAAAGGCAACCATGCTATGTGATTTTGCCCTTGCAAGGACATAAAACACTAATACTGAGGAGACAACAACAAATCAGAATTAATGGAGTGCACTACACTCATGCTGCAGTCAAAATCAATCCACCCATATGATCACATGGAAGAACAAAGAGAATGCTTCAGGCTAAAATTACTCTTGTAAAGACAAAAGCACCTAATTCTACTCAATAGACTTGCAAGCCTTTTTGGTTTGAAAAATAAATAAAGAAATAAAATTCATCTTAGCTCTCAGATCTTTATTGCTTAATTCTAGCATTTTGCACAAACACGTCTCTTCATCAATAGGCCAAATGTCCCTGAGTCCCTACATTTTCAGTCATTCCTGGTCTGCTTTCAGGAGACACTGACTAGGAACTAGTGAACTTGCTCTGAATATGAATTTCTAACATGGATGAAACCTAAATATTCAAATAATCAAATATGTTCTCACCACCAGGGTATTCTCTATGTGGGTACTCAGACCCACAAAAAACCTAAGTCCTTCCTTTGTGGTGCTCTCCCAGAGACAATTTTCATCATTATTTATGAAAGCTTATATACTATATATAAGCATATATATAAGCTTATAAATCATTATATATTAACCCATTGTCTTGCTCTTAAGATAGCGATATTAAAGAGGTGCAGAATTTATATTAGTTGCTAAACTACACGATAGATTTAAAACACTATGGCCTGTAAAGATGTTTAAAGAGAAAAACTAAGTTTTGAAACTAACACATTCATTTATTCATCAAACTTTCAAAGCCTTTAACACGCAGCAAGTTGGATGTGATTCAGATGTATTGGTTTTGTTACAGAAATACAGGTCATTGGTTCCATAGGCTTGTAAAATGCATGGGTAAAAAAAAAATCACCAAAGCACTTGCAATGTATGTCAATGATTATTAAAGAAAAACATGCATTTCTAGAAGGTAGGAAGATATCAAAACCACAGGGGTAAAGAAAACCATGCAGATTAGAATCACAGGCAAATTTACTGATGTATTAATCCATCAATTAAACACCAGCCCTAATGTTCTCTTCCCTGGAAATTAGTTTGACAAATGAATCATCAGTGAGAGGTGCAACATGGTTCACTGAATTCTGAAAAAAGTGATCATGTTTATCTTAGAAAGAAAACAGCAATTTGAAACATGAGTAGGTTAAGAAAATTAGCTATTGAGAATGTAAAATGCAGAAGCTACAATTGCTTCCTTCTCAGCATGGACTGCTACCTTCAAGATTCCCCACTAACAGAGTTATATATTAGACAAAAACTTTCGGTCTTGGGATTTCCCCTCCTCCAGATATTGCCTCATGTGTTAATGCTGGAGTTCCCTGCTCAGCACATTTCTAACATGTTTTTTAGTAAAAGTTCTTAACTGTTTTCAGGCACTGCTTAAGAAATCAAACAGCCTTACTTACCCTTTTGCATCAAAAAATAAGATGCTTTGAGTGTCTGAATTTTAGGTATTTGAATTTTTTTACTAGCTCTCACATCAGCTCCTGGGAACTCTTCTCTGAAGGCAAGGATGATTGTTTACGGCCACTAGGAACTGTCCTGGGATTTTTAGAGAATTATCAATATGATCTTAATTTCACAAATAATTAGCATTTATCAGGACTTTTCTGGCCTTCTTCAGTTGAATCAAACAATGTGTATCACTGAAGTGTAAGTACGATTCTGTGAGAATCCTGTGTTAAGCCTCCTCAACTGAACAATGTAACTCATTTTATATGCACAGGTTTTGAAAATCTTCAGTAAGTCAGTGGAAGTATTCACTTCACTGACTGAAGTGACCGAACACATTCTATTTTTAGCTCCATGTGGGAGTTATCTTCAGCTTTCTACAGAAATTATTTAATTAATCTTCTATTATTCTGCACTTATTAATCAGGTTAATACTTACAGTCAAGAGGTACATCCAGTGCAGAAATAATTTGGCACAGAAAGAGGACCAGGGAAGCTTTGCTTGTAGGTATGCTCATCTTTTTCATCATGATTTTAGGCTGTACTGAGTAAATCACACTTGAAGAATGTAGTTCAACTTCGTAAGACTAGATAGCTTGCAGTAGATATGTACATATAGACAAGAAACCTGATAAATAAAAAACAAAATAACGATATGCAGATAAAGTGGAGAGTTAAATGATCACATGCATCTTAATAATATTATGAAATACAAGCAGTCTAAATACTATATCTAAAGATAAGAGTTACACCATGTATTCTACTGAAACCCAAGAAATTCACAAATTCTTAGGTCACCTAGATCATAACACTTTCCTAAAGAAGCTAGTGAAGAACTCCTATAACCTTATTGAACAGAAATACAAGTGCCTCTCCTAAGAAGGATAAAGCATCAGTCAAACCATCTAGTTAAAAAAAAGAGTATATACTAAAGATAACAGTCCTCTGAAATAGATTTAGAGGATAAAAGCTCTGAATGCCCACCTAGTCTCTCCTTCAAGCACCCTGCACCATCCTTGGAAAGAGGCATTGTAGGCATCTGCTCCAATGAAAACATGCCAAGCCATGAATTTGCTAAGTAAACTGTGGAATCTTTCTGCAGCTTTGAGTTAGGTACCCCAACTTTTCCCCACTTTGGAGCTCTTTCTAATAAGACAGCTGTCGACTGAATACACAAGACTTCATACCTAGGCTCCTATTTCTGGGTATCTGATTTCTCTCAAAATATATAACATCAAAATACTTTGTCATTTCTAGCCTGAAACCAAAATGTAATTGTCAGCATATTCTCAAACACTTTTCTCCTCCTTTCATATGTGGCGAACTGTCAGAAAAGAAACTTAAGGGAAATCTGCTCTTTGAAATGTGCTAGATTTCCCCCCTCAGCCAAGCATGAGAGATCACATTAGCCATGCAGAATGATTCTGGTTCCCTCCTTATTTTCTGCATTCAAGACCAAGCTCCAGCTGAGAAGAATATTGGAGGAGTGAAAACTAGCTGCCTGCAAGCCTCATCAGCATCACCAGTGACCTACAAAGATCTATGCAGCCCTAGAAATACAAACGGTGCTTGCACCATGCATTCTCAATAAATGAACATCCACCAAGAAACTACTTCCCAGATGGATCAGAAAGTTCACAATGATCAGCATTAATTCATCTTGAAGAGAACACTTGCTCAACTCTGGCTACAGATATGAAACACAAAGCTATCCAGTCCACAAGGAGTTAAAGTTGCAAAGAAGCAGCTGCTTTAAGAATGTTAAATTAAGAGTTTGTGCTTGCTGAAGTTACTTAAACCAGTCTGTGGTAAGAATTTCCCTCAATTTTCACATTACAGAAGAAATTATTCCTCTTAATTGCTTCTGTAAATTATTTTTCTCTTTGTACAGTCCTCTGAGTACAGACTGGAATTAGAAACTAGACCTGAGGCATGGAGCTCTACTTCTCATCATAACCTCATAAGCTCTACTACTCATCATACTCCCTGATTCTTACTGTCACTATCTGTAAAACTGATTTTTGTTTCAAAATACGAATATTCCAGTAGGTTAAAATTCTAGACATGTACTACTTGGAGTTGCTGGGAACTGCTGACTGGGGCATCATGGAAGAGAGCAAGTTGCTTATCGACACTCCAAACTATCTCTAGGACTGCACACCATAATGTAACAACTAATTATTTATCATAGCAGACTAGAAAATTTACAAAAAAACTCATCAGTAGAGAGGACACTATAGTTCTGCCCTTTGCATAATTATTTACACAAACTGGAGCTGCACAAGCAGACAAGGTGTCATGCTAACCTACAAAATACTCAGAAAGGGATACAGACATGTAGCAGGAAAACATGAAAAATACTCAGACTTTCCTAGAAAACAAACTGAACTTTCCTACATTTTAAATGAGCACCCTAAATTGCTGGGGGTTGAGCTGGGAAAGGTGAGAAGTGTTTTCTCCATCCTATTTTGGCACATACAGTTTACTATACTCCTGCTGCAGTGAGCAAGGGGAAGGAGTAGAGCTTTGGTCAAGAGTGCCTGAGAACACTCCAGCAATGTTTCCTGCAATGAAGTGCTCTCCAGAAAAGCTGATTTTATTACAGTAACTGCAGCTGTCTGCTCTTCTCCAGTTAAACTAGGTTCTCACCCACTGCTCTCCTAATCTTTATGTCTCCTCATTACAGTATCACCACAATTATCAAGGTGCCCTCTCTGTGCAGTGACCTGGGATTTACAGGATACTTGAAGTATTATGCAAGTGAACCTTTACTTCTATTGTTTCTTCTCCATGCAATTTTTCAGTTCTCCTTACAAAACCCTGAAAACCTGATTATCCACTTTATTGTCTTTTTCTTTCGACATGTAAAATGAGTATTGCAGTGATTTGAGAGTATTGTAAAATTAAATTGCAATTGCTTTGAACAAGTACAAATGAATACACAAGCACTGTTGAATCAGGCAGGGGCAATTAAAATGATTGGGAAAGTAATACTCTTGAGAAACTGTCTCATATTGTCTACCTCTGCTACTGCAAAGTTCCAGTAGGATACCTATTGAATCTGCTCCTGGGATGTTTGGATATAATATGGGAATTCAAACTCAGAGAGCCAATGCACCCTAAGGCTAAGGGTTTGTGATAAAATATTACTGAAAATGATTTTAGGTATGTCAGCACAACTGGCTGATCTTGTTGAATATACTCAAGATTACATCTGGCATAATTTAGTATGAACACAACAGCTGCTATGTAGAACTAAACATTGCTTTGACATAACATTATCTGCTACAAAATCAGGACAGGTCTCTAAGCACAGATCAATGTAAAGGCTTCAATTGCAAAACTTGAAATATTTATACAGCAGATTGCCTTTTTCTCCAGATAATTTATTTACAATGTCTTGTAACTGAGACATTTTTCCCTACCCTTCTCATAGGAAAACACATATATTGTGACAGTTTGTTCAGGAGTTTACCCAGCAATTTGTAAAAAACAAGATTTTCTATACCTGCATACCTCCTATGTACCTAAAAAAATGTCACTTGTTATGTCTTCTGTGCTTCTTGATGAGATGCTGATTGTGACTAATATGGACTAAGGGTTGAAGCTATGGGATAGCAAACAGGAGTAGAGTTAAATTAAAATGCATAAGCAAGTGCAATAGTATTTAATAACAAAGTGTAATTTCAAAAGGCAAGGGTTGTATTTATGTATTACTAAAGAACCAGGATCAAGTGAGAGACATCAACCTTTTTTTCATTTGGAAAAAAAAAAAGCCAAACAAACAACTGCTTTTTAAAAATGACCCAGAGAAAGCCACAATTAGAAGAATGAAGGCACCTGAGGTGAGCCTGAGGTAGACTATATGGCAGAAGATCAAAACACAGTTGGTTCCCAGTGGTCTCTTCACTGCGACCATTTGGCTATAAACAGCAAAACCAGATACTTCACAAACACTGAAGGAGCTCGGAAAACCTGCATGTACATGCAAGGTATAATTTGGAAGTCAGAATTCAGGATTCCTTTTGTCACTCTAAAAGGACAAGGATCTCCTTAATGTTAAGAGCTCAAGAGCAAATGAATCACATAATTGTTAAGGTTGGAAAAGACCTTTAAGATCATCAAGCCTAGCTATCAGCATATCACTGCCAAGTTTGACAGTTCACTATGTTTCTAAGTGTCACAGCTACATATGTTTAAATACCCCCAGGGATGAGGTATTCACTTCCCTGAGAAGCCTGTTCCAGTGTTTGATAATTTTTTTGGTAAAGAAAATTTTTCTAACATTTAATCTAAACCTTCTCTGGAGCAATTTGAGACTGTTCCCTCGTGTCCTTTTGCTTGCTACTTGAGAGAAAACACTAGTACATCATGGGTTACATGCTTCCCCTCTGAAGGAGCATCCATCCTACCTACTCACTCTGATACTCCCTGAATCATCTCTAGGCACTGTAGAATTACAATTGGATCAGGTCAGTATTTGCCAAAGAGAGTGTTAACAACTGAACAGTATCCACAACTGTAGAGCAAACACCCATATGCATGCACACACAGATGATATATTACTATACTGTACCAGTACTGAGTAATACTGATTTCTAATTGGAATATTAATACATACAGACACACTATCAATTGACACCTCAAAACTGGGTCAATTGAGGCTCTAAATGACAGAGAGGACACACCTTCCCCCTAGCTATCTTCAGCAGAAGCATACAAGATGCTTCGTTTCCTTGTAAGTGCAGCTGCAATACTTCTTTCATAGGATGGAAGAGCATAAGGAAGTGTGTTTACTGAAATTCAACCTAGTGCAAAGTTAGACAGTATTTTCTAAACATAATACTGTTTCACAGAGATTCACTGATTATGCATTTCTACTTAATTACATTATTTTTAAGGCAAAAGTTCTTTAGAAATGTGAATGGAAACCAAGGTCAAGAAATGTGAAAGAGTTATTAAATTGCAAGACAGAAAAACTAGAATATTTCATACACATTAGGAAAAAAAAATCATTATCTTCCATATAGACATGACTGAATTCATGCAGAACATGTTAGACAAGTTAGACACTGGAGAGATTAGAGAAAAATTATTACTTTGCAAAAAACTTCCTCTGCTTCATTTGTCTGAAGCTTATATTTTTTATTCACAGTGAAAGACAGATATAATTAAAATATACCACAAATAAAGTTCTCAAGTAAATCTGTTGCACAGCAGTCTTATATCCGCAGAAACATGAAAATAAATTTCAATGATTTGTACATTAAAAAAAAGTGTTGCAGATTATAATCAAAAAGCACAAAATGCTTGCTTTTGAGGACAATGGAAATGTCCTTATCACTTTATGAAAGGTCTTTACAGGACTTATGTGGTTTACACAACTACGCTAACTATGCAAGTATTAATAAAATTAATAAAATATTTTTGAACAAATGGTTTCAAATTTCACACTACTTTTTTAGGTTATCCAGTATTTGCAATAATAGGTCACATAAAAATGTTAATTAGAAACAACTATTTAATTAAAATCTTTCAAATAAAAACAGATAGCAATGCACTTAGTATTACACTACCTAAGTGGCATGGACACAACACTACTTGAAAAAATAATGCTATTTAACAAGA